TTTGGTGGAATTTGTTTTTCAAATACGATTAATAAAATTACCAAAAGACTAAGGTATTTCTCTAGACTGGCACTATTATTGTTGCTTTCATGGCATCCCTTAATTGAAAATAATTCATTGTTGTAATGTGAGTAAAAACATATTGTCCGCTGAAGAATTGGTTTCTTACTTTTTTTACCTCCTTGAAAAATTTGACCTCATTAAAACCAAACATTAAAAAATTAACATTTGTCTCATCACATTTTAGTCTGACATTATTCTACTATATTTTTTGCTTTTTAATTGCATTATGCCTATATTGTAACATTGATGTTTAACAACTCCAAAGGATTGAGTGGGAGTTTGTTTTTCGCCGTCTGGGAGGGTATTTTGGCTCCAGCTTCTTGAAATACCGCGGGAGTCTGGCAGATAGCGCCTCTTGAGTGGTTGAGGTCAGGAACCTAAAACACCAGCTGGTGTCTAGATTGAGAGGGGGGGGGGGTTGCCAAATCTAGGGAAACTTTGAGTAGAAATTGCAAAACTTAAAAAAATTATATCGCAAAACACTGAAAAAGTCTTATGGGGTGATAAAACTCTAACAAAGAAAACAGATTGACGTTGTCAATATCTTAGCAATGATTCTCGACTGTTAATTCGATTTAAAAAATCAAATTCCATTCATACGATACAACAGGGTTTTTATTCCTAAATGAGGATTATTGATGGACGGGTGTTAAGTTAATGTGGAAAGGAAAACGACAGGGTTATGGAAGAAAGTTAGGAAATTGATAAAATTGATATACAAATGTTAGTTAGTTTCAATTACTTGTGACTTGATACTGTATTAAGCTGTGTTTGTAATGCAGTTGGCAGTTAAAATTTTGTAATAGGCTGAACTTTTTTTTTTAAGAAATATGCAATAAATATAAACTAGTGTCCCTGTTGCTCGAATTCGAGCAATTGCTAAGTATTACATGCGTTATTTTAAAATGAATTTCAAGCAAGTCAGCAAGTTTGTAGCAAACTGTTAAATTAGCAAACTTATTGACTGTTTACAAAAAACATATGCTCTTCTTCTCACTTTTGATTTCTGACAACAGCTGCTGGAGTTTCATAACAATTTTTGTTTCCAATGTTAATCTTATGGAGAAATACGAAACTTTAAAGGCCTCCATGGCCTCACTCTCTCATTATTTCCCTAAAAAGAAAGTTTCCTGCACAACTTCACGCTACGCTCTTTCCAATGACACCAAAAACATGACAATTGGTTCAGTAGTTTCGGAGGAGTAATTGTCACAAAAAATCTGCTTGCGTATTAAATAAGTACTAGTGTACATGTTGCTCGAAATCGAGCAATTGCAAAGAAGTACAGGAGTTATTTACAAACAAATTACTTGGTTGAAAACTTATAACAGTCATAATTTCCAATGATTTTAAAAGAGCAAACCAGCCAACTAAAAGATTATGAACCAATGGAAATACTTACAATTTACATAACAGTCCTTTTCCATTTTAAAGGGTGAATTTTTAACAATCAAACTGCCCATGGACGGGAAAAGGAAAGCTTACAATTTAAGGTCAACGTAAAAAGGCTGTCAGCTTTTATTAAGTACCGTACCTAAGTTATTTAGCCAATTTGTAGACAATAAGGTGTAGGCTACTTTAAACTCTACAGGACAGAATTAGGCAAAAACTGGCAGAAATCTGAAATGGTGTTATTTATCATAGACTTAGTCATATGCCAAATCCTTAAAATAAAAATTTTATAACTAACTTATATCATTAAACACAAACCAACATCCAAAACTATACACATTTTTAATACAACTTCGATAATTTACACATTGACTGTTTACAACATATCTTTTTCTTCTCACTATTAATTTTTGCTTCGCAACGGGAAAAATCTGTTTCATAATTATTGAAATAGATTTGTAATAATCTATCATAAAGTTTAAGATTAAATAAAGCTACCACATAGTTGTTTTATTTTTTTATCAGCTGTCTAAAATTGTGAAATAGGCATTTGACAGTTCTGGTTGTTTACATTTAAATGACAAAGCAAATGTAAACATTGTGAATTTTCTCATGCTTCCATGGAGACCAATTATTAATATTTAATTTCTGACAACAGCTGGAGTTTCAAAACAATTTTTGTTTCCCATGTTAATCTTATGGAGAAATACGAAACTTTAAAGGGCCCCAGGGCCTCACTCTCTAATTATTTCCCTAAAAAGAAAGTTTCCTGCACAACTTCACGTTACGCTCTTTCCAATGACACCAAAAACATGTCAATCGGTTCAGTAGTTTCGGAGGAGTAATTGTCACAAAATTCCTGCTTGCGTATTAAATAAGTACGAGAGGTCGTCCAGTGGTCGAAACTCGACCAAAAATATGTAATGTACTCACTTCTCTATTTTCACCCCACACTGTAAATAAAACATGTGATTGGAGTTTCTTCCGTTTGTTTTGATTTTCTGTTTATATTTCGTTGTTATTTCGTCACCAGCATGGCAACGCATAAAATCCATGTTAATTTTTTCAAATTTTTAAACTCATTTTTTGTGTTCATCTTTGAGCTTATTTAAATTTATGAAGGGATTCTGCACACCTACAGGAAAATTGCTTTCTAACGGTATGCGCAGATTTACCCCACGATGCACACAAGCTGAGAAAAAAGGTTTTAAAGAAACATGCTTGCCTATTAATATATAGATAGATAGATTAGTATCGGCGAATAAGGATCATAATCCACGATCGGTAGGTATATATTAAAATTAATATTCATAAACAAATTGCCATGAAAAAGTTAGAAAATTTCACTTTAAATCATTAAGTCATTATGCCTATGTAACAAAAATATTGATGGTTTGCGAAATCGTGGGGCGCGCCTGCATTTCCGTGACGGCAATCCAGATACTCGATGCAACCTGCAGTACTTGATAGACTGGTGAACCCACGGATATTAGAATTTAGGCCATACTGTATATTGTTGCGTGATCGTCTGTGCCCCAGCATAGATTTGTCAGATACACATTTAAAATTAAAATAATTAATACAATAATTTTGTTGCCTCAGAAAATTATAACCAATAATAATCCCATAATAATGCACAGTAAAAGATACATAGCAAGACATCAAATATTTATAAAAATTAGTTTAAATCAATGTAATAGTCCTACACTAGTTAAAACTACTGTATGTGAATTATTATTTTTTACTACCTAACCAATAATTTGTATTCAAAATATGTTAAGTAATTTATATGCAGCTCCAAAATTATAATTGTGAAATACTGATCTAAATGAAACTTTTTCCTTGTTTTCAAATATCTAAATTCTCCATCTGACACAAAATAAACCAGTAACTATTAAAAAATGCGCTCAAATAAACCCTTTCCAATTCAATCCCAAACAATAAAACAAAAGCATAAACAACCGTCAGGCGGTAACAGAACGAACAATTTGTACGTGTAATGGAGAAACTTGCAAGTGATAAATACAGCGCAAGAGGAGACGGATGTGGCGGTCGTCTTGCGCAATTTACACAGAGTATAACTAAGTTTTTGCCAGTTGGAAGCCCCTATAACAATTTAATTAAGTTGGCAATGGGGAAACTTGTAATGTGGTCGGTAAGTCGGCCGATAAATTTACAGTAGCAACTGCTAATGCCTTCATTGCCCTGTTCGCCACCACAATGCGTTTTTGATCAGATCTTGTGCAATGGTAGGACGCAATGTGTGGTTTATTATATGGTGGTTGGTGAACAAACTTGTAGCGTTTGCAGGTTTAATCACAGGAAATGAAGTTGGAAGTTTTAATCAGACGTTTCTTTGGTTTGGATTGTTTAAGTTTTTATGTTCCTCCTGAGAATGTCGAGTTTATTGTAAGTCTAGAAAATTGTTACTGTTGGGAAGTATGGAAATGTTTTTTTTTTACTATGAGGGAAGCTACCAATATTATATAAGAAAATCTGACAAGCATACTTATCACGATTACAAAAAATATCATGCATATTAAAATAATGTTTTTTTTTACCAAATAATACAAATATAGGTGCATCTTATTCAGTTTTGATTTTAATCTGTCTAGGTTTTAGCACACATTTCCTAGAAATTTTGTCACACAGTTCTAACATCAATTATGCAGAGAGCTACTGGTAACAGAATAGTTGTTAGTTGCAGGTATGTGTGTAGCCCATAGACTAGCATTACATATTAGCATTTTTGCGTTTTTATGTTGTTATCACTTTTCTCCTTAGTATTTACTGTTTAGTGTTGAAAGATAAGTAGACCTCTTATCAGATAAAAAATGGATTCAGAAATCGGAGGCTGTAGAATTATTCTTGATCGATCTATATACTAAAAAATATATGTAATTTTCATAGGATGTTTAACTTTGAAGCATTCAATAATACTTGATATTTATAGTAGTAACTCCTTTTTATACGATACTTCATATATTGAACTAATTATTTATTTTTAGAAATTCTTTATGAAATCACAATTTTCTTAGAAAACTGGTAGTCTTTTGAGAAAACTTATTATTTCTGAATAAAATTCCGCCTTTCTCTTGAAAGATCTTGTCTTCTATTAAATTATAATTTCTTCAAGAGACCCCACTTTTCCTAAAAAGAAAAACAAAAAACATTGCTTCAGTAAACTCTTACTGTATTTCGTAAACAATATTCATTATTCCTATAAAAATCCACCCTTACTCCAATCAATCAATTCTGCTATCATAGCATTCTCCGAGTAAACCCATCTTTCTTGTGTAAAATTCATCCTTCTACATAAACATACTGTTCTTTCATAAATCAAGCTTAAAGTCTGTCCTAGTACCACTTTCTCTAAGAAACCCTCAATCAAAATAATATCCATACTGATTATTTAGAATTTTATAGGTGTTTTCTCTACTCGTGTAGTATATTTTTTTGTAGTTAGTATTGTTGTATTCACTTTATATGTATTCGTAGCATAGTTGTTGTACTGTAGACTGATTGGTAGATGTTTTTGCATGAAGCATGCCGACATGATGAGTTTGAGTGTCGAGATGGCAGTGGTTGTGTCGACCGTAGTCGCTACTGCAACGGACGCCCGGACTGTCGGGACTACAGTGATGAGGAGTACTGTAACCACACCAGACCAGGTAGAGCATAGAGTAATGAAAGCAACTAGAAATAAGTCCTTGTAGTTAAGGGTAAGATTATGTAAGGGAGAGTAATATATATACTAGTAAGGTTGAATAACTTGGGGAGCAAGATGATCTAGTGGTAGAGCTCTGGGCTTTGGAGCCCAAGGTCCCAGGTTATAATCCCACCAATCACTAATGCATTTTATCCATATGAGTATGCCGCAACCCTCTATGACTAGCCTGAAGCAATGTGTAAAACAGTTCCCGGCTAGAACCTAGCATCCTAGGATGTGAAGACAAGGTTGAGTAACTGTCATAGGGTGTTTCTAAATGAATATAGGATTTTTTAAAGCTATAATTGGCTTTACATTGAACCATTGACTCTATGAGATTTTATGGCATTCACTCTATATGGATTACCAGTCGCAATTTTCACTCAAAAATAACACAGTTTGGTTCTGATCACTGAGTGTGATAATGTCAAAATTATTTTACTTCTCATAGTTGTCAAGACAGTTAAAGTTAAAAATAGTAAACGTGTAGGGTATTGATGATACTTTAAATGAAAAATCATCTCAAATAGGACTGTCCATAACCCTACAAGTGTTTATTCGAGCACCATTGATCAAAGGGGTCAAGTAATAAGTGAGTTTTTTCTATATGTTTGTGTCTCTCAATTATAATTTTTGTACCCTTATATACTTCCATAAGTTTTCAAAATCGCTTAAGTTTAGGTAAAAAAAAAAAAAAAAAAAAAACTGTTTGGGTGATCGAGGTGGAAACAGTGGAATTCAAATAAAACAACTTAACATCTTATGCCACTTTTTTAAACAAAACAATTTAGCTGTTATCATTAATTTCATGGATAATTATAACTGTAGAGTCAATGCAGTGTTAAAACCCCCATATTCATTCAGAAACACCCTGTATTGTTAGGAAAATTCTGGGTAGTTTAGTGCTTATATACTTTCTATTGCGTTGAGCATGTTGGCATGTCTATATGATAATTTTCCTCAATGGATAAATCTGTATTATGGCATGAAGTACACATTTGATTGGAATTATTTCTTGGTTTGGGCTTTAATGTAATCATTTAATTTATTGACTTAGGTTTGACCAGCTACTATTTCAATCTACTAACAAAATTTAAACTACCTATCCTATATTTCAGTTTTTCATAAACAAAATGTTGTTAAAAAAACGACTTTTGGTTCTTTTAAGTTTATTTATTTAGTACCTTAAAATATTAATGACCAAACTCAAATATATGAAGCAAAGTTAAAGCTCTGCATATATTATAAATTCGGTGACACAAACAAAAAAAATTTGGTTGGGAAAACTCATAACATTTCTTTTAACAGATAATTAAACCATATTGAACTTAGTGTATTTATTTAATTTCTGGCCATGACATGGCTAAGTAGTGAAGTAATAGAGATGCAAATTTACTTTAGTGTTTTTGTTCTAGTATAATCTTTAAGATAAACTAGAACTGTTTTTATTTTAATAACTTCTCTAAAGTGGAACATGATCCAGATTCCGTTGGAAAACATTGGAAATGCTTGATAACCATAATTGTTAAGTGATTCAACCTTATTCCTAATTTGATTTCACATCGGTTAACAGCAATCCCTAGAGGAGAAAAATTCCATAACAATAATTTTACAATTGAAAACTATAAATAATGCTTTTTACTGCATCATTTTGAAATCGATTTGAAAAGCCTGTTGCATAATTTTTTAACACCGCCCTAATATTGTGCATGTAATAACATAAGATGTTATGATATTTTTGGCTTATTAAAAGAAACTTGAAAAACGTTTCCACTTTAATAAACACATAGCCTTCATTATTCTATTAATAATTTTAAAATATTATAAATTTTTCATGGGTACGATAATTAACTTGAATAATACACAAGAATTACTTGTAAGAAAAATAAATATATTGAAATATAATTTAGGTTCTGCAATTTAGTCTTCTGTGTTTTTCAAACGACATCACTGCTTAGGAAGTTATTTAAATTATGCTGTTTGGATATGCAGTGTGTTTTTGTTGTGGTTTCGGATAAAATGAGGGATACATGATACCTGAGTGGTATGCAAATTAGGAGTACTCTTTACATGGTTGAATTTGCCTCCTATGCCTCATAACTGCTGCCTGCACTTACAATTGTTAAGACTTTATCTAGTAAAAAAAAAACTTTTCTCTAATATTCATATCTGTCCAATTTGATAACATATAAACTAATATCCCTAATATATTGACCAAGATAATACAATAATTCTGATCTAATAGACTTATTCTTAAGCTTAAAATATGATACATTCTGATATTTAAAATTAAGCATTAAAAAATGTATGTATAAGAATAACTACCGTAGTCCATATTTAGTTTTTTTATGAGTTGGGTTGGTTTATAAACATTTGAAGTTTGTATTGCTTTGTCATTGGGTTCTTGTATGAAGTATCATGCTTTAGTATATTTTATGATTTCAAAAAGCTTTGGTGTGAGGTGTAAATGAATTATCGATCGAGGCTTTGAAATTGATACACCTTTTACCCACAAACTACACAAAACATTGGTTAAACATATTGCTTCCACCAGAAATAAAAAAGATCGTTATGACAAAATTATAATCATGGTAATGTTATAAAATGCATTTCTCATTTTTAGCTGACATTCCCTTTAAAATGCCAATGGAAAATGGACACCTAAGCTGCTGTAGGAATCCTGTATAAAAGAGTTGAATTAGTTAGCTTACCTTAGAGAATTAGTGTCCAGGTTTTAAATACACAGTAATATATTCGTCCTAAAAAAGATTTGTTCAGAGAGTAGATTTATGAAAAATTTTTGAAGAGAGACATTCCTCTGAACCTCTGAACAAGTCATAAGTATCAACGAAATATCACTGATGTATTTTGTGGCCTGTTGTGTACCTATTATCCCTTGGATTCTAATTTTCTCTGATAAGTAAACTAGCTAAACTCACTTCCTTCACAAAAATTACATTTAGCCAATGACTTTCCTTAGAACCCAGAGCTGTAGTGGTTTAAGCATGTATAAGATGTTGTATTAGTAGTGTGGCATGTATGGACGAATGGTATGATGTGGTATGTATTGGTATGTTTGTGGTATGGTTTTTGACATTGGCTTGACTAACCCCCAGACATCCATCAATGTCCTTTGGGCCAGTTTCTCTGCTCAGTCTCGAGGATATGTGTTCCCCTGTCGAAGAGGTGCGATGGAGTCGTAGATTGCTTGTATGACAGCACTGACGAACTTGGATGTTGTAAGTTTCTCGTGAATTGTACAAGGTATTTGATACGATCTTTAAATCGTTGTTACCTCTGATTTTTAACAATGGCATAATTTCTCACCTAAAAGACCAAAACTCTTATGTAAATACAAGGATTTTTTTACGCAGCTCAAATTACAAGTACGGGAGTCACTGTTTAGAGACGAAATAAGATCACAAGTTGGCAGCCCCGCTTCCTCTACTTAAGTACCAAAATCAGCTGATATGCATTGATGTTTCGTTAGGAATTTATCCACAGGTTTTTCTTTAAAGCACGACCCATGTTTCAAATAAATAATGCATGTATTCGAAAAATAAGTATTATTTTGATCTTTACAGTTAGTGCAACCTGTAGGCGATTTATTGGGTACTGGATTCTCACCTACAAACAATTGCAAACATTTCTTGTCATAAGATGGATAATTTACTTTTATTGTATATAGGTACATAATATACTACATATATAATACGTGAAGCCGATTTTTGTTAACGCAACTCCTCCCTTATTTGTGGACCAATTTCAACGTTTAAGGTGTCAAAAGATTCGTCTCAATATGTATTTTTGCAATAAGGTTTTAAAATTATAAAATTCCTACTCTTAAGGGCGTGAGACCCTCTCAAAGGTCGGGTTTTCCCCATAAGAAATACACAGAACAAATTTAAAAAACAAAATCAGCTGTTTATGAACAGAAACTTATTAGCTTTTGGGGAGTAAATATTAATGTTTGTAATTTTCAGTAGGTTAAGACCAAGTTAAACAGTTAATCAGTTTTGTTGGAAGAGCAGAAAATGCCTCAAGTTCAATGAGTTATGTTTCATACAATGCGGCTCATTGAGCCGCACGGGTGCTCTAGTACTACATATAATCTTTTATCTTGTGAAAACACCATTTTGGGCTTTATTCATAACTAGCTGTACCCGCGGGCTTCGCCCCGTTTAACTTCATAAGTATTCGCATGGCTCATTCACGTCCTGGTTGAAGTTCGTTCGCTACGCTCACTCACCTTTAGGTTGGAGCTCGTTCGCTGCGAACACTTGCCTTCAGGTTAGCTCGTTCGCTACGCTAACTCGCCTCAAGGTTGAAGTTCGTTCGCTACGCTCACTCACCTTTTGGTTGGAAATTAGCTGTTGTCATAAATTAACAAAAAAATTAATAGTGCTGCACCCTGTTGGTAATCCTTGTAACTTTTATGCTGTTGAACATCATAGAACAGAACCAACTTGTTTAATTGAGACAGCTGTTAAGATTCATTAATTCCTTTTAAATATGAAAAATCATAAGATTAACATGGGGAACTACAGAGCCACTGGGGCGCAGCCCGAAAGGGTTTTTGAGATAAGAATATGCTTTAATGTTAATCGGGAATGTGAGCTATCAGCATGCCAAATTTCAGCCCAATCCGTCCAGTAGTTTATGCGTGATTGAGCAACAAACACACACACAAACACACACACAAACATACACACAAACATACACACAAACTCACAAACTTTCAGATTTATAATATTAGTAAGATAATTCCTAATAACACTAAACCATGTACTGTAGATAACAATGCAAAAACGCACATCAGCTGATCAGAAATAAAGTAAAGAATATGATATGGGACATAGAATTGAGGAAATGGGAAGCAATTCTGCCAAAATATGAGCTTTTTTCCCTAAACGGTGAATATCCTGTATATACTGTTAGTTTGGGTTGAGTTAAAAACATCTTTATAATAAATAGTCCTACTTTTCTTATTAACCTCACATGTAATAATAATATAAATAACATTTTCTTTGTGATAAAAACACTACTCTTAACTTCGGTTCAGCTTTTATAATCGTCCATAATTTTGTAAAATGAAAATACCTATTTCACGGTTTTTTCTGGTTTCTTTTTACTGTTACTTAACAATCATACTCATTCCTTTTCTAATGAATCAGTAAATTATTTAAAGTAAAAACTTTAACAATAGAACTAATTCAAGGCAAACTACAGTAATAGATGTTCAACTTTTTTTCCATTGTTTCCTTCTAATTATAATTATTAACAATATTAACAAGGACAAACTGTATATATTTTCAAAATAAAATTGCCCATACAAAAACATGAAGTCAACTCTTCAGTGATGACTTGCAAAATCTTTGGAACAGTTCTCACTATTGTTAAAAAATTTAAAAAGAGTAAAACTTAACAGTTATATATACTATTAAATTAAATTGTTTTATAAATTAAAGACAAATAAATATTGACTTTGGTCTGACATAAAAGTTAATTTATCCATCTTCTTTTAAGACAAAATGAATGGTTATCCAAATTTTATTTAGGAAATCTAGTAATAAAAGGTAAAATTTTGACCTGTTTGGTTAATAGAAATTTCAATGAACTTTGACATTTTTTCATAGTCAAGAACTAGTAGGTAGATTATAATATCTCTGGGTAAGTAAATTTATATTTTACTTGAATGCGCTTATAAATCCTTTATCACACTTTTGCATGTACATTTTGCATGCCTTTGGGTTGCCTGCAGTTTGGTTGTAGGCCTAACTAGTTTTATTTTTATTTTTATTCTACTTAATTTGTTATAGTAAAATACATATTAAATATAATAAACATATTAAATGAATATTAAATTTTTGGAGTGTTCTAGCCTATAATGGAATATTCAGATAGGTATTAGATATAGATGTATTTTGACAAATTAAACCTTGTTTTTTTTATGCTTAAGGATGTAAAACAAAAAGATCAATGATATATTCAAAACATTGAATTAGTGCTAGGGTAACTTTTTAAAAGGAAATAATAAAATATATGTTTTTAAAATGTAAATAGGGCGTGTATTACGTGGTACGATCAATTCTTATTAAATTTTGAAATACAGAAATGTAATATCAATTTGTAAAAAATCTAAAAGATTCTTTTAAACTCTACAAAAAATAACCAATAGACTATAAAAAAATAAGGAAACAATTACACCCTCTAAAAATTCTTTCTTTTCATCAACTTTATTTTTTTAATACATATATAATTACTGTTAATATCTATAATTAGACATTTCAGATATTGAAATCGATGCAGTCTATTATAGTAATGATTTTTAATATTGAAATTTTCACAAAGTGATAGTGGTATTATAGTAAATATTTAGTTATTTTGCACTTAATTTATTTTCCTCACCGCTATGTGAATTTTTTGGTTGCTTTTATTTATTTCAAGTTTTATTTTGTTTTTGACTTGCTTATTTCACCCCTAGCTTGTGATCCTTCCCGGGAGTTTGAGTGTGAAGACAAAAGCTGTATAGACGCTCGACTACGTTGCGATGGCGTGGTGCACTGTCCGAACGATGCAGCGGACGAGCGAGACTGTCCTGAGCGTAGTAAGTACTGTAAATGTGTAGAGAATTCACAAAATGTATTCATATATACATTTTATTTGTTGGTTCAACCTATGTACATATAGCAGTTGTATTTTTAAAGTGTAGTAACTCATAAAGTCGAAAATTGTTTATTTTTTACAGTGCCTAACAAAGGGAGGCCGACCTTAAACTATGTTTGTGTTAGTAAAAAAAAAAAAACATTTCCAAACAATTCTTATAGGTCAAATCAACAAAGGATAAAGTATTATGTTTCAGAATATTAAAATTAACGCTAGCAATATTATTTAAATATTATTTAATCCATTAGTTAAACCGGATTAAAATAACATTTTCCATTCTCATAAGTTCTGTAGATTAAATGAGTAAAATAGAGTATCTAAGTTTTGTCAAAAAAGATTGTTTCTAATAACTAGACTTGTAGTAACATTAGACATTAGCCGAAGACAACAAATTCAGTAAGTATTGATGATCGGCTGTAGTTTAAGCATGGGCACGTTGTACATGTTGTATATACAAATGGTATCATTGACTATAGATACACCTTAATACCATCCAACCAATATTCTTTGATTCTAGCTATTTAAGAGAGGAAAAACTACTGTTTTGCTTCACTGTGCTGGAGCCCACGGACCCTGTAGATGATGTTTTTATGATTGATTTTTGTGAAAATGTTAACACATCAATCAAAATAAAAAACTAACAGGATACATGAGCTCAAGAAAAAAGAATTTACTTTTCATTTATTTGATAGTTACTTTGACATAAATTTCCATGGTGCCGATTAACTCCCTTAATATTTCACATAGACTAGTAATTATAATAAACTATGCATTAGTTTGCATATATTGTGGTATCTCTAGAATCTCAAACCCTGTAAAGCTAATCTTCAATTCATCTACAGTAATCCAAAATCCTGGGTTTGAAATTTTGTCTCAGTATTGAGATCTAATGGTGTTCTTTTGCTATCATTTTAAACTTGACTATTAAATTTATAAGGTGTATCTTTAGTCATTACTGGTAATGAATATATGTTTATATTTTTCTTATTTCATTTCAACAAGATTGTTCATTTCTGTAAACAAAATTGAAACAAAGCTTTAATAATGAAAAGTGTAAATAAATTGTATAAGCTATTTATTTTTCATGGTGAGGTTTTATCTTGTATAGCTCTATATTTTGTATTTGACTAACACTATTGCTATTAAATATATCATTATAAAGTTACTGGGATAGTATTGTGTATTTTCACTTAAAAATCAATCATTAAAACATTTTAATATACATTTCTAAGAAAACTCTTAAAACTTCTTGTTCATTTTTACTAAAGTAATCAGCAATTCTTTAAAACAAATTTTAATCTGTATAAGACTGACTTTGCAGGGAGGAATGTTTAAACAATAAATAAATGCCTTTAAATACATTATATCATCATTCAGAATAAAGTATTAAAACATTTCTAATCAGCCATATTAATTTCTCTCCCCATTTTCTAATAAGACATTGATTTGTAGTTAAGGCATATCTTACTGTTTCAAAAATAAATTAAAAAACAATAATTGTTCACAGATTAGTAAAAAAATGGGTTTAGGCTGTATCAAAACAAATATTGTTTTATATTATTTAAATAAAGTTTACTAATTTGTTTATGTGACCTAATATAATTATGTGTTTAACACTAACCACAATGTGTATTTTTGAAAACTGTTTTTAGCTATTAGTGTTTGCTCATCAACGCAATTCCGATGCAGAGACGGAACTTGTATTGACCTTAGTCGAAAGTGCGATAGCAAAGTCGATTGCCCTGATAATTCAGACGAACAGAGTTGTACCAGTAAGTTGCCCAGATGTTTCGTTTGTGCCGTCCAGACCTCTTTGCAAAACTCTTATGTGACGTTCGTTCTTCTTTCAACGTTTTCTTCCTGTTCATTGTCGATAGTATTTCCTAAGCTCTTCTGTTTTTAGATGCTGTGGGGTTTTCTGATTCTCTAAATCTTGATGGTTTATCAAGAATTTTTCTTTTTGTATTCTTCTCTCCCTTTCTGTGTTTTTGGAGGTGTCCTATATGTCGCTCTGGTCTGTGGTTATAGTCAGAGTGTTGTTTATAAAAAATATTTTGTGTAAAGGTATATTTAGTTAACATAGATTAGAGAAACCTTGAGTTTTATGTCTGATTTTCAATTTAAATAGCTTGATAGAAACGTGTCATATGCTTTGATTATTGATATACTGATTAGACTGCATTACCATGTACTGTAGTTTCATCTTTAATAGGTACGTTGTTTTTATTTTTAAAACAAAATTAGGAAGAAAATGTTAAATTTATAAAACATCAAAACTAAATTGTATAAAATCAATTTAATACACTATTGCAAACTAAAAAAACCTATCAACATTTATTAAAAAGTTCCTAAATGGAATTTGTACAAAGTGGGCTTTTGAAATTTTGTATTGTATATATTCAAACAAACATTAAAGAAATATATTATTTTGTGATTGTGGTGTAAGTTGTTATACAAATATTAGGGTTTCAAATCAGTTATTTGATTATTTCTCAGAGTTGTTAATGTTATCACATGTTTCATTGTTATGTGTCTAATCTTAGTAGCATGTTCTTCATCTTTTCCCTTGCTTAGTAGTTTCCCAAGCATGTTTTCCACTGTCGTAGTTTAACATTGTTTCGCTTGTTGTATTGTGTGTGCATTCTGTATATAATTTTGTGCATGTAATCCAATTTAAGTGACAGCATTAGTTTCAGAAAAGTTTTGTACGCATTTTATAAAATCATTTTTTGTGAAGAAATATTCCAAACTCTGGTCTTATCTTACGTCAACCTTTGTTTAGATAGCATCATAAATTGATAGGATACAGGTTCGATACAGTATTGACACAATACACGTTTTTATATAATGCACAAAGGCTTTATGATGTAAACTTCTTCTTATAACAATCTGCATTATAACATTCTACACATGTTTTCAACACATAAGATGTCAAACATGAGTGTAATCATTGTTCAGTATACATACTTTCTCCAAAAGCCTCACTACTAACAAAATCTTCAAAATAACATATATTGGCTATGTTTTCTATATTAATGCTGATCACAAGTAATGTATTGATTATTTTGGTTTTGATATGATTTGGTATGTTTAAGGTTGTTATTTTGGTTTGTTCTATCCAACCTGCAACCTGCACCATTGTGTTGTTTATTATTTGAAATTTCTAAAACACATCGAAACATACAATATGAAGAATAAAGTCCATCAATTTGGGTTCGTGGCTTAGTCCTAATAGAAAATGTGTTTATCCTTGTTATAATATTTTGTTTGAGGATTAATAATTTGTTATTTCAGTCATGTATGAGTTGATCTTTTATGTCACAACACCACAGTGGTCACCACAGTAATAAAACTAGGCTGAAATACTAAATTTTTTCACTATGGCCTATAGTGACTCTTTTCGACCCAAGCTAAAGTTTTACGATCGAGGCGAAGCCGAAGTTGGAAAATGAGCAAGGGTTGAAAAGCAACGCATGCATTAAAAACGACTGTTTTTGCTGCAGTATGACGAAAAATATAATTTACTGTAGCTTACTTTGTGAGTGGTGCAATCCACTAATTGAATAAAAAATTGGTTACAGCTGTTCCGCAAGGATAAGATATCACGTTCAATGTCCCAGTCAATGACTGAATATAAAAGAATCGTAAATTGTCAATTTACTTTCACTTGACTCACAGAAAACCTTATGATCCTAAATTTCAAAAAATAAACATCACTTTCTTTGCAATGTTGAATGCCGTACAAGATTTGAGCGCATGTTTCCAGAGTGCAAGCCTGATGAGTTTCTTTGTGGAACTGGATTGTGCATTTCTCTTACGCGACGCTGTGACGGGACCACTCACTGCCAAGACCGGAGTGATGAACTCAACTGTAGTACGTTTCACATCTTACTTTGCAAAAACTTAATTTTAATTTGATTGTAAAATGTTCATGGGTGTAAAAGAAGTGGAGGACCGCATCAGGTAACAAAGCGTGGTCCTTAGTTCTTAAGTGTTGCAGTAAAAAAATACTTTGTCACTGTTTTAGGGTTATTTGACTTATCGACATGTTTACACTAATATTTAAGTTGGCTTGAATTTAAATATTCTTACAACTTATTGAGTTGACTGAAATTGTTGGGTACCTCTAATTTCACTAATTAAAATACCAAACATTATTTTTTTTAATGCTTTTTGAACAATGTTAAAACTATCAGGCAGATTATAATGTTTTCTGATTATCTTACCCTTCCAAGCTATTTTTTAATTTTGTTTTGAGCATGAGTAGTTTATTGAGTGATGTAATGTAATTTGCTGCATATTTGTTGGTTTGGTGAAAATCTTTTCTAACTAGATGAGTTGATCAAGCATTTTTTGCATGATCATTGTTTTGCAACCCATTTGGAAACCATTGACCCACATACAAAATTCCCTTATAATTTTTTACCATAACTGTAAATAATACTGTTCAAGTTTTATTTAATACTGCATGTGTTTTGTGAATTTAGATGCTACTTGCGGTTCAGGAGAGTACCAATGTCGCAACGGAAGGTGTATAGGATGGAATCTGCGTTGCAATAAAGTCGATGACTGCCAAGACTATTCGGACGAATTGAACTGTCCTCGTGGTACGTTCTGTGTAATGTGTTCGTCCATCTTCGTTGTCGAACGTCACGTTCTTTGTTCTTCCTTCCTTCTGAGCCTACATGTGGATCTGCTTTAATCTTATTCTTCCATTTCACAAACACGAGCTACACAAATAGGATTGAACTACTCTCTGAGGAGCTCTTCTTAGGTTTCCTAAACCCGTCTTCTTGTCTCTTTCTCCTTGTTCTTCTCTGTTAGGTACACATTTCTTTCAGCACAGAGACATAGCTCACCAAGGGTCTACTCTTTTGCAGAGAAGTTGACTTAACTGGTATCTTCAGATTTTCACATGTATTCCACTTTCAAACTTTGATTAACAGCTTTGGATTTTTATAATATTTTTCTACTCTATTGTCATACCCTCTAACATTTTGTTATTATAATTAGTATTTGTAATTATTTGTTTTTAATTTTAAGGTTATTTGATACCTATTAAACAGTTTATATGTAATATTGTTTGAACATAATTTAAAAGTAAATGTCCGTGTATTGCCTAACATTTTGGATTTTTGCTTTAGTTTATTCTAACAGATATTGTATTTACCATCCATGTCTGCTGTGTACTAAGGCTGTGTTTGTCATGTTCTAGACTCGTGTAGGAGAGATGAGTTCCGCTGCAGCAGTGGCCATTGTCTATCAATGAGTGCTCTCTGCAATGGCCGACCCGATTGTCCCGGAGGAGATGATGAAATACACTGTCCCAATGGTATGTTGTACCAGTGGTACTAGAGGTACCAGTGGTTGTTATCAAATCAAATTTTAAAATCCTTTTTTCCCTAGTACATTGTTTTAATGGTTTTTCCACGCAAGGATTTAGTCCTTGCCACCTGCTTAATCAAATGGGATTTGATTACGCACTCTACTGTACTCTTAGAAGTTAGTGATTGGGATATGTTAGTTGGTGGGGATAGTTTGTGTTTTTGTATTTTTATATAAGTTTAGAATAGTATGGTGTAAAATATTGTATGTCACTCATCCAAAATGGTTTGTTTACCATACTCATGGTAATCCCACAACCATAAACGGGAACAACCATACTCGTCTAGTAAACACCTATTTTCAGGACTAGCAACGAAATACTATTATTCAAACAGTACATTTATGCACAGATTGTGTTAAGTCAACAATTAAACGTATAAATTGGTCATGTTTGCAGGGTTTAATTAATTAAGAACTCAACTTAAGAACTAAGAACACATGTATATAACTTTCTCCCTGGGTCAGAGCATATTTTAAGGGATTTCCACTGGGCGACAGTGGCGCCGGACTTACCGGGGGTTCTGGTCTGGGGGGAATACCCCCATTAAAAAGGGGGGTCCGAGTTTTTTTTTGTTTGCATAAATTAAAGTGAAAATCACACATTTCTACGTATGTTTTAATGAACTTTTCTATTATATTTGCTTGCAAATAGTCCGTTTAATCTCACTTAAATACGTATTCTAGAACACTGTAACAGGCCAAGGCTCACTTCACAACCTCTTGGGCCAAAATCATACCTCAATACCCTACTCCAAAATATTTACATAATGTTACTTTTTAAATTCCAATAAATTTAAAATGTGGATCATTAAAAAAAAAATATGCCAGCAACACCCATAGTCACTGGGCGACAAAATCTCAGGACTGGGTGACACTTGTGTCGCCCAGTTAACATGTTATTTTATGCCCTGCCCTGGGTAACAAACACTTTGTCACTTTCATCAACGTTCTCTATTCATTTTGATTCGAGGTATGAAGAGTAAATTATCTTTCAAATTGGCAGCAGAAAACATAGCTCTTGCAACTTTCATAGAAAAATCTAGTCTAGATCAGGAACTTTACTTATTTTATCTTTTTCCAGCCCATACCTGTCAGCCGTATGAGTTTCAATGCCGTAGAGATCGTAACTGTGTACCACAATCACGGAAATGTGACGGCTACCCAGACTGCTCTGACTCCAGTGATGAAGAAGACTGTGGTATGATTTCACTTTATATCTCTGCATACGCCTCGAGCCCTCGAGTCGAGGTAGCGCTTACTGTCCAATGTTCTGCTATCTATGTCTGTTAAACCCTCAAAATATGAATACATGGTTGTGAGGTCTTTAGCTTTCATAGTGGCGACAACGCTTTATGACAAAGTGGAAAATTACGCTTTTTAGTGAAGGAGACATTTGAAATTAGATAGTAAAATGTGTTTTTGACGAATGTGCTTTTGATAGAGATAGGTTTGAAGAGTCGTTGTTTGTTGCCTTAAATATGTAAATATTGTGCTTAACCGAGTATTAATGTTTTAACAATTCATTCATGCTTTCATTAATTCAAAAGATGTTTCAGATATTCATAAATTTTGGTATGAATAAATTACTAAAATGTATATTTAAAATATATATAACTAATAGAGAACGTGGTCCAACTCTCAAAAATTTCAGATTTTCAATGTTTACAAATATTTTAAGATCATTTTTGCCTCTTTGGTTTCTCATTTTTCAAAGGTCTTATTGTAAGGAAAGAAATTGTTCACCCATACATACCTCATTATTAACTTGAAAGATATTACCAAGCTTTAGATTGATATTTTTTTTCAAACTCAACTAATCAATTTCACCTTACTGGTGTATTTGTTAGAAATGTTTAGACTCTCTTTTAGATAATTCCTAATTTTCATATGAAATCTAACTATGGTATTATTTCTTGATCACAGAAATTAATTCAAAATCATATCTTGCAACAACTGATTGATTAGGCCTATATTAAATGGGTGAACAAGTGATTTCAGTAATTAGCAGTGTCTGTGACACAAATATCCTCTTATGATTTTTCAAAGTGTTGATTCTAATGTTTCAATCTCCATATGGTGGGGAAACTGAAAAATTAACTAAATCATACACATTTAAATAGATGTCCACATAACCATCACATGAAAATATAATCTTAAAACCATAACGTCAAAACAGCACACTTGTCATTTAATATTTACTTCTTAAAACATAATTCATACGAAGCAATCTCCTCAACTGTGTGCTAAAAATAATTTTAATTTAAGATTTTTGCAACACGTGGTTCATGTGATTAGAACTTTTCTTAAATATTTTATGTGTAGTAAAACATGCCCATGTCAATGACATAATTTTATAGGGAGAAGAAAAATTGTAGGCCTACCTTAAGAGATTAAGATCTGAAAAAGGGCGGGGAAATAAATGGAGACTGTCACAATATACGTTGCAATAAAAGAAACTTTTAAATCAAAATTGAAATAGTTAACAAAATTTTGGGATTTTAGAATATTTTTGGCTAACTTTTTGTACTAATATTATTTGCAAAATTGTTCACACGGTTGGGACTTTGGCCATACACATTAGAAATTCACACTCAACATATATTAACGATTTCTTTCTATTTCACCTCGATTAACTCCACTCCCATAATTTGTATTCATCACATTAACTAGTACATAACCTCTACAGTTGTAAATAGAAACCAAACACTTATCCTACATATTACACTCAACATAGTTAGTTGGCTTGACTGTGGATAATCTATGTAGACAAGCCAAGTAAAAAAACCCAAACTGTCTAACTGAAGTTTAAAATATCTGCGGAGAATGTACTTTGTAAAAGATAACATATCGATAATCTATGGTACTCTCTTTGAATGCTATACTCCATTCACAAAATTAGGTGGTTTGAGGGAAGTGATTCGATCCCTTCCAATTCACCGTTACTATGAAACAACAGCCGACAGCTGATAAGCTGATATATAATTATAATTATCATATAATTAAATATACATATAATTATAATTAACCTAAAAAAGTGGTGGGGGAACCAATGAAACTCTCCCATTAAACCACCTACATTTTGTGAAGAGGATCTAAATTTAAATTACACAGTATTTACAATTCAATCCATATAGCTCTTTAAAGATAACTTCATTTGATTTTTCACACAATAGTTTTTGGTTGTCCCTCAAAGGCACATATAATTTGGGCCTGAGAGCATCATCATTTTCAAAGCTGAATAAACATATTTTTTCCTACAGTCACCCGACAAAGTTGGCTTCCTTGTACTGTTTATAGTACAGAAAGCTGCTAATTGCTGCATATTTATACATTGCCGTACGGTTTATACTTTGTCGTGCGGTTTATACTTTGCCGCACATCAGGATTCCAACGAAACAACACAAAACAGCGTGGTTCTATTATGCACGTAATCCGTGTACGCTTGGAAATAGGTTGGCAACACTTAAAGATAATAATACTATGAGCAGCTGATTGACTATTATAACTACGATTTAACCTGTCATTTCGTGTTTATAATTTCGATATTTCTGAACTTTCTGGACTTTTCTTTTAAACGTTTTTAAAACATTCCTACGATCTTAATAAACAAGAAAATACCTTTAAAGCATTTTCTTTAGGCGCGGAAACCACTTCAAAATACAAAAACATACGGAACTATATTCTCAAAACGCGGAGCACATTTCTTACCAAGGAAAAATAGCGGAGTGATACGGACCGCGGGTACTACTTTCTCTAGGGCACCATTTGTGTTGCCAGCTGAACCTAAAAACGTGTTGTATAGTGTTTGAAAGACTAATAATTAATATGCTTTATAGTGACTGTAGGAAAAATGTAATGTGTAACACGAGTGAAAAAGGCCTTTGCTGCACTCGAGATCATTCCAAACATTGCTCTCGTGTGCAGCAAAGTGCCACTTTGCCCACTAGTTACACAAATAACTATTTTCATACTAATAAGTTGTGTTTAATATCCTATAAACAAATTTTTACTAAAATCCTTAAATACTCAAAATTATATAACAGTCAATAAAACAAAAAGTATTCCTCCAAATATCTAATGGTTTTTGTCTACTGGACTATCCACAGTCATTGCTGATAGGTTGCTACGGGAGCTTCTGGCCGCACTTTCGTCAGCAGATAATGTGCTTTTGTGTTGCTTGGCTTGTATATAACATGTGCTTGCCGGGTAGAGGACGTGCTTGCTCCTTGTCAGTCGTCTGACTTCACCTGCAGAGACGGCTCTTGTATTCCCAAGGACAAGCGATGTGACGGAAAGAAGGATTGCCCCGAAGGACTTGATGAGGTGGATTGTAGCGATGGTAATTTTACTTTAATACATTAGGAGACCATTTTCTATTATGGTGGATTCAGTCTTGAGAATTGATTGATTTATGATGCATCATAAGGGATGAAATGTGAAAATTTAGTCAAAATTGTACTTATGAAATACAGTAGAATCATTTTGTGATTTTATTTAAATACCTGTAGATTAAATATTTAAAATTAGTATCTTAATACTCATATAACAATTCTATATAATACTTGGAGTTTCCTTGTTGCAGATTTTCCCAAAACACACATCGGGGCAACAGAAAATTAAAATTCTAAATTGCACCTCCAATTATTTCATAAAACAATAATCCTTCTGAAGCGAAGTTATTTCCTTCCACCATGAAGTTATAGTGGGTATTTTGAAATGGTATGTTGGGGTTAAAAAAGTAAAAAGTACCGTAAAAAATATTATGTGGGGTTTGAGATTGGCACCACATGTTTTGTTATGGCATTACTGTTGAATGAACAACACAATTGATGTGTTTTCCTCATTGAGATTCAAAGTGTTATTGTCAATGAAAAACTAGTACAAAATGTCTTATATTATAATGAAGACCACAGTATATAACTGAGGCTATTGGAGGTTAAGGAGATTATAATTTTGTACTCTATGCTTAAAAGATGACATCCATCAGCTGGAACTGAGAGCAGAAATCAACAAAAAACATAACCTCAATGTCATTTGTTTGTTTTGTTTACTGTGATTAACTTAAATAAATGTGTGATTAGTTATTGAATTTCGGTAATATTTAAGTAAAACTTATTGAATTCATCTAAAATTATGATGCATCATGGATTTCATAATGTAAGGAACCCCGATCATATTTCTTGCAATAATTACAAGCATAAATTAATTATGATACTGTAGGCTACTTAATCCACATTGCTTTACTAAAATTAACTTGAAATAATAAATTAAACTGCAGCCCTAAACTTTTCACAGATTTTAATGAATCTTAGCATTTATATTTGCATTTAGTTTATATATTTAATTTGAAAAATTCCATTTATTTTGGCAACAAAAAAGATGATTCAAAAGAAAGTTATAAAAAAATTCTAAGTGAGCTTAAATACTTGTGAAACTGACGTTATTTTGATTAGACATGGGTTTGAATATAAATTTATTTAGGCCTATTAAACATTTTTTAAAATAAAAACTCTTAAGAGAGCAACTGATGAATTTAAAGCCTGGCCTGCGGATTTTCTGTGATATGGTCATTTTCTTAAATTTCCATACTCAACAGGCATCTTTTGTTTTGTTCATGAATCATTATTTAGGCCTACCTATTACTATATAATTTGAAACCAAATAAGCAACAAATAAATTTTGAAATTTTTTAAAGAGTTTTGTCAACAAGATGTACTAAGTTAGATGATTTTATCTTTCCATGCAACCAATTTTATACTCTTCTTAGGTCTAGGTTAAATATTACTAATTTGCCAAATGCTTTACCCTTCTAAAAAGAACTTATAGGCCTACTTTAGCAATCACTTAAAAGTTAAACGAAACAAATTCTTGAATATGTCAGAAAATCAGTCCCCTACAATAAAAATACGTACCCTACATTAGTTTCATTGATGAAAGGGTTTTATCATAGCCTCCTCTAATACAAGGCCGCAGCGACACTGCTGTCCCGTCAAACCGAAACACCTGTTGCACTAATTTATAATGGGACTGTGTATAGGAAATGTTTACTATTTTGATTTTATTTCTCTTATTATCATAGCAATAGGCATGACGTTGCCACACACAAACCTAGTGTTAGAGAAGGCTATGGTTTTATCTTAGAATTAATATAAAATGAAAATCTAGATATTAAGCGTGCTTTTAGTGCCTAGATGTGTTATATAGAGAAAAGCTTATCTTGTGACTCATAGTTGTCTGTGTTTGTCTGTGTGTATACTTACTGATTTAGCCCAAGCACTGCTTCTTTATATCCTTCACTTTTCTAAACCTTGTATACCTTTGAATAACTTTCAAATTAGGCCTACTGTAGTTTTTGCTGACACGTATTTTCAGTTTATTTGGTATATAAATACCTCAAAAGGTGATTTATTACTTTTGAGTTTGTTTTGTAATATTTTACATGAATCAGTCAGTAGTCTGATTGTAATTCAGCTACAGCCAGCTCACGCAAGTAGATTTCTTTTGTTACAGCCAAATTTTGTATTTTTAAGCTGTAGGCCTACAGATAAGGAAATAAAAAATTCACGCAAACTAATTCTGTATCAGAGTTCATGGATATTTGTTCATGACTTATAAATTGAAGTACTAAAAATTAAAAGCAAGACCAGTGATAGCGTACAATCCTGGTTTTGTAACTAATTGTTTTACCATGTAGCCTATCATAAATTTCATTCAATAAGGAAGCAGTAATTGTGGTAAATGTGTCGCTTACCGCTTGGATTGTGTGTCGCATAACCAGGGAATCCTGTACATTGCATGGCTAACGAGTTCCGTTGTAACGATGGAACGTGCATACAAGCCGTCTACCGCTGTGACAACGTTACTGACTGCCCGGACCGCAGCGATGAGCTTAATTGTGGACGTAAGTGTGTGTTTTTGGTGATTTTTAAAATTATGTTTGGGGAGTTTTGTGTGCTTTGTTGCAGATTTATAAAATTATGCAGGGGCCAAAAATTGTTAGTCCTTTTGTGTTTGTTAACATTTAACAGCTTAGGAATGTTTTGGGTTCTCCCCCTGTCATCTTGCAAAAATCAGAACCAAACATTGTTATAAGGTACATACTATCATCAAAAATAGGTTAGGTGTGTACCTTTTCATCACCATTCTATAATGTAATTTCAAATCTAAAAATGTGTTGTATGTTGCCTATGAAAATATTCAACTTCATTCCCTCTGATTTTAAAATCTCCCTCTCTCTTACTTTATAGACGGTTACATAAACGTTGTCTTCAGGGTTTGAACGTACCGAATACCGAAGCTCTTGTATCAGTAACTTTACTCCTGAATAAGTTTTAGCCTCATTGCAGAATGCAGATGGCTGGGTAATAAGCAGAAGCTGAGATCAAAACATATAAGTACTTATGAATGCCATGCAAATTCAGAACATTGATTCAGCTTTGTCTCATGTTGGTTGTGGAAAAGTTTATTAATGGCCCAAGTTAATGAATGACATACTGTTAGGTCCAGTGGCGGATCAAGAGGAGGGGCGAAGGGGGCGACCGCCCCCCCCCCCCACAGGCATACTGCACATGTAATACAGTAGTGCATACACATTGCGTAAAATAATTTGTCACACTAACTTTGGACAAAGAAATGGTATAAAACTGCCATTTTGGAGACTTAGTTTACATCAATTTTTCGAGGGGTACCCTGAATTCCCCAGACCCCACGGTTTGCCCCACACCCCTTGTGACTTTTCTAGATCCGCCACAGGTTACGTCTCTAAAACTCTGATAATCCAAATGTTTGGACCATTTTTAAGTTAACTTAATTAAGTATACCGTACCTCATCTTACATTTTTTTAAGTAATATTAATAGCCTTATGTTCTACATGGTGGACTTAAAATGTATAATAGCAGTATACACTCCTGGCTTACAAATTCGTAAGTAGTTTGCATCACGTGCCCCTTCGCTAAAACTTAATTCAAAAATTAGTTAACAAAGCTTTTTTGTAAGGTTCAAGACAGTTTAGTTTGTTCAAAAAATAAATTGTGTTATTTATGTACAATTATAATTATTTATGTAGGTAACGCAATACAGTGCAGTAAGTATGTGACAAAAAAAGGTTAAAATTACTTAATAGGAACCTCAATATAAATAATAATGGTGGACACGGAGATCTTTTGACCAGGGGTGGACTTCAGCTGGCTCACATGAGAAGATTGGAGCCTATGGGCTCATAGATAAATAAGATCACTTTGAAAAGAAAAAAAAAAAAAAAAAACTTGAATATACTCTTTATATGTCCAATGTTTAAGTGTTATAATACCGTACATGTTTTTTTTTCCAATTTTTATATCCCCATATACTTTAATTTTCTCTGATACACTAACTAAAGTGTTTACCTTAAAAACGATTAGTTTTTCTACCTCTGTATAAACTGTATCCATACATTATACAGTTCATATTGTACAAAACAGATCAGGCCTACCATATGCGTTCATGTAGTCAATACCTCAACACAAAAAAATATGAATATCAATATGTATCTAATGTAAAAAATTACTTGTGTAACAGTAATAAAGATTTGTGTTTCCCACCTAAACAGCTGTTCCGTGCCGTCAAGATGAGATCACCTGCGGGGACGGAAGCTGCGTGAGACAGGAACTGAAATGTGACGGAACACCAGACTGTAGAGATGGAGCGGACGAGCGCAACTGTCGTAAGTATTTGGATCAGGGGTTGATTTCTTAGGGAGACAAATTAAAGTTGTCCCTTGATAATCTGAACATTGTAATCCGACGTAGGCCTACATGGTAGTATGGCGCCAGCAGTCTTTCAAGGGAGTCAAAATAAGCCTGCAGCGAGGTGGAACAGACCTTCCTCCGCACTATTTTGTCCCAAATGTCTAATAGTTATTAATACTGCATTAGGAAATAATGGTCATATCTTATATTGATTAAATGCATTAAGAGAAACCCTATCTTGATAATCCAACATTTTCAGTAATGTCATACCTTCCTCTTTTTCTTATCGGATTATCGTGGGACATTCTTATATCGCCATTCTTGGTAAAAGTAGAAACATTTTCTTTGAAAGGATAGAATATTATTCATTCCAGTATTTTTAAATCTACTATAATTCCTTTCCTTTTCTCATGTGTATGAATAAAATTTCAGTATAATGGAAGTAGTGCCATCATTGCCATCAGATCCTTTTATAAAACCTGACATGCTCACTTCATATAGCTTGGATATATGATAGAGCTACAGGGGCAACCTTACATTTTCAATTCTATTGTGCCATAGAGAAGAAGGGTAAAGAGGAAACACTCTTATAGGACAACTGTGAGCTTTCAGATCTGGTATGTTGTGCTGGAAATATACTTGTGATGTGCAAGGAAGAGCTAGAGCGGTGAGCACTGTGCGGAAATCCTTATCACACAGGGCATACAGGGTCTTCCTCCATCGTGAGCGTTGTAGTATTTGATCCTAAATACCAGCACTAGTGTGAGACACCAAATAAGTGTACCATTGAATGTTTCTTCTGTATCTGTGTTTATGCTCAGTTCAGGCAGGCTTGGTAAATTTTCACAAGCTTCTTTAAGACCATGATTGAACTACTGTTGAAATTTCCTTACACTGCAGTTCCAACACTATTACAATGAATTTTAGTTGACATTTCTTTGCTTACCTTGACCCCTGAGATAGTTTTGTTTGGTATAGAGCCAAAGCTATTTTTTGTGCTTAGTTTGCAGCACTTTAACTCATTTTTATGTCACCAGCTGTCCGATGCAGACCAGACGAGTTTGTTTGTGACGGGAGCCGCTGCGTTCACAACTCCAAGAAATGTGACAGAAACCCAGATTGTGCTGATTACACTGACGAACTCAGCTGTGGTAAGTGAAGTTCAGAATTAATCATCTTTATAATCACAATGCTACAGTCACTTGCAAAAAAAATCAGCATAAGAAGAGTTAAACAAATACTGCAAAAAATCAATCCGTTTCAATACAAGCTCAACTCTAGACCATAATACAGAATTCTAAGAAAACTACTCATCTTCAATAAGAAGATTGAAATTTAGAATTACAAGTAGACTCTTCATTCTAATGGAAAACCTAAAACCCGGTGTGGTATATCTGGTATTTCAGCAATAGCTATTTTATTATGTGATACATTGTTTACATTCTATTTACGGTAGCCTACTCACATTTAAATTTTGTTTGCCACTTACACTTTCCAGCCCGACCTCGATGCCCCCGGGGCTACTTCACCTGTAACTCGGGTCAGTGCATCCCACAATATCTAAAGTGCGATAACAGAACTGACTGCTACGATAAAAGCGACGAACAATATTGTCGCCAATATTTTGAAGGAGGTATTTCACAGTTGTATTTTCTACGCTTGGGATCTCCTTCGCTGGTTTTCATCCAATTTAGTTTTTTGGGTGTAATTGGATTAGATTCCTGGTTTTAGAGTTTAGAGTTATTTCTCCAATTGTATATAGGGAAGATCACTGTACAGGTAGTTGCATATGGAAAATTGTGGTAGTAATATTCATTATATTTAGGTTAGATATTTAAAATTGAGAGAACTCATGATTTGAATTCAGTGTGAGGATACTACAGTGAATACTGCGCTAACAAAAATTATATTGTAATGTCTGTGTGGAAACGTATGTTCTTACCCCTAATTTTTTACTAAGAGAAGTGAAAATTCAGAGGGACAATAATTCATTTGTGAATGATAGGCCTTTTTTGGATATAGAGTTCAAAATTCACTGCCAAACTTTTAGTTTCTAAAATTGTGATTGTTAAATTGTGTCTCCCCATTCAATATATTTTTAATTAGGCCCTAACTTAACAATTCAAGTAAAATTTGACATCATATCACATATTTCAAACGAGATTTACCTTACATGAGCAGATTTAAAAACCACAAAAATAAACTTTGGATACTGCAAGTAGCCTTTTCATCCTGTTGTAAATTCTGAACGTCCGATGAGGATTGTTGATTAGTTTTGTCGCACACAGGGTGGTTTAGCATCTTAGACTTTGGTGTTAAAGGAATAGGTCCGATTCAATGGTCATATCCAATGAGGAGTTTGAACCGCTTTCCCTCATATGGGTTGAATATTCTCAATCACAAAATGTACTGGTGTTATAGTTAAAATGGTTTCTCTTAGCAATGGGTAGGAAAATAGTTTTTTTAAGAATTTCTTCGGCTAATTACTTTGTCTTATATTTTCTTTGGATGACATTTACATGTTTACTGTTCGAGGTTAGCATACACATATCAGGTGTTAGCATACACAAATATAATTTCTTCATTCAGTTCGATGTTAACTTGTTAACTAATAAAACCTAAAGCACACAATAATGTATATGAATAAACAAACACATACATTTTACATTACAAAACACTTTAAAGTGGGTGAATCAGACATACAGAACTGTTAGTGGTTTAACCATTGGTTAATTTTTTTTTAGTCCGTGAAATTATTAAGAATACTAAACTGTCTTTGATCCATAAGAGTGATAAGCCTTTAAGGGATTTTTTTATCTACAATAAAACAATTGTTTACCATAGCTATGTGGATTAAGTTAATAAGGCACACTGGAATCCTAAACATGTTCTTTCTCCAGGTCACTTTTATTTCTAACCATACAGAAAACAAGTAGCCTACACTGGAACTTCACAAAACTGATTGTGCACTGGGCTTATACTATCTACTTTGTTTTCTTGCAAATTACTGAACACTTTATGCGTATGAATTTACCTGCGTTTTCTGATTTCTCTTCTTCCTCCTCTTCTTCACCATCATCTTCTTCTTCACATTGTATGCTTTACACAGTTTAAAATGCTTCCATCTAGACATTGTAGTTATGCTTTGATTAGCTGGGAGAGTTTGTAATTATTGATTTTATATTTTATCCAAGGTATTGTTGGTTGATCTAGATTTATTGAAGTATAAGAAGAATTTAGTTTTTCATGGAATCAAAAATATAAAAATCTTCCATAATTCACAAAAAACTACAATACTAAAATCAAGAGGTATTTTTCCTTTTATTTATTTTTTGTTCATTCTAAAAAGGTAGGAACAGGTGATGTCTAAAATTCAAGGAATGGATGGCTGCTGAAATAAACAATATTTCAAGGAAAAAACCCTACATCTCACAATTAATTGTACAACATAAGGTTTCTGTAAGCTGTAAAGCCAAAGATTCTTTTTAAAAAAACTTAAAGACACTATGTGAAAGTTTTGTGCATAACCACCGATTATCTTCCTATTTATGATTCTTTGATGAAATATAGTTTTCCACACAAATTATATTGTAGGTTCTAGCGTCTACAAACATTTAATTTTTGTACATGATTTATTGATTTAAGTTATTTGTTCTCCGCAGGTGTGCCTGCATCCCAGTCGCCCCCAGTGTCGGACAACCGAGTGAGCTGCGCGTACGGACAATTCGCTTGTTCCTCGGGAGACCAGTGTGTGCCGATGTCCACCCACTGCGACAACAACTACGACTGTAGAGACTTCTCCGACGAGTCAAACTGCGGTAAGCCACACAGATATGAAACATCCAAACTACCTACAGCCATTAGTTGCTGTAATTTATTTGGACCCGAGTATTCACTTGATTGAGTTTAACTCGCAGATTGAAGTTCAAAAAACTAAAAAGTCTATGAAAGATTATAAATCTTATGGTACAAATTTATCACAGCCTAGAATTTTTGAAAATAAAATCTTGCTTGGTTGGGAACTTGGCCCAAAAAATGTTAATAAATTTAGAATGGGCAATTTAAAAACAAATTGTTTTGTCTCTAAAAAGGTTTTTGCACCATACAAACTGTATACTGTAACATAACAATCAGCTAAGCTATAATTATATATATTACAATAAATTGTAATTATTTACACTAATAGTGGGGAGCGAGCTGGTCTAGTGGTTAGGGCACGGGACTTCGGTCCAAGAGGTCCCGGGTTCAAATCCCACCAAATCACCGGATTTTATCTAAGTGATAATGCCGTAACCCCTACATCTAACCTGAAGTATTGTGAATCCCGGGCTTGTGCCTAAGATCGAGTCCTAAGACAAAAAAAATAGGGCATTGATTATCCACAGTCCAGTCATCCGAAAAGTTAGTTAATCGTAAGGCCGATCACCAGTGTTGCCCAGACCGATATTTATGCTCTTGATTGTTGCTGCAAATGCAGGAGACAATCACAATCAAAATTTGTTTATGGGAATTCGTACTTGATTTTGAACATAGTGGTTTTATTTAAGAGAATTCTTTTTAGCAAACTTGTTTTTGAATGTATGAATTATTTAAGTTGTTTAATGTTTCTTGGTTTTTTTGCAGCTGGAAATCCAGATGGTCTCAATTTGAAAACTTACCCAACAGATCAAATCATCAAAGAAAGTAAGTTTAGTCTATATGACAATCCAAACTAATGTGAAAAATTCAACACCTAAAAAATTTAATTTTCCAGTGATATCGGCTATAGGCGATGTCAAGCGGCTCATAGTAGGTCACTTTTAGACCACTGAACTGATAAATTGTGTTTTTGATAGTCTGAAAAGAAAAAGTAATAAGTGTAAACAATGGTTATAAGACTAAACTATAGAATCAACATTGTCAAATTTAACATAGGTTAGGTCAAAGGTGGGAACCATAATTTGTTTATGTGCTGTTTTAGTGATGTTTAATTGTTTTAAGAGATTGAGCTAATTATGTGCGATTACTACAATAAATCTGTTTGTTTATAAGTATATTTTATAAAAATACATTTTACAATTTACCAGTAGGCCTAGAACATTTCTGGCCAAAGTGTCTTAGGACTAACTAGCTCAGTGGACACTAGTTAATTGGTTTGCATAGCTGCAACATCTTTTCAATGCTGTCCCTTTTTTCGTAATACTAACAAAATTGACTTCAATATCTGTCCTTTTATTAAAATTTTTGGTTGCAAAAAATGAAAATTATAGTGTAGATAGATGTTTGATTTTTATAACTAGAAAATCCAATGGTATTAGTTTTTTTTATAAAAGAGGTTTCTAGTGATTCACTCCAAAATTAAGCGGGGATATAAAATTGGTATTAGGTTAATTCTCAGTGGTTTTATAAACATTAAATAATTCGACAATTATTCATAGATATTTACAACTATAACTTTCTACAGTTCCAAGACTAGTTGCATTCTAACAAAATATTTTGTTATTTTTCACTTTCTGTTCCTGATAGCTGAACAAGGTAAGACACTGTCATGGAATGTTTTGATGTTATTCTGTATTCTTCATGATTTCATAGCAAATGGACCAAATATGTGTACTTTGCTCTTTTGTCAGCTTATGACGTATATTTTTCTCAAAATGAGAATTTCAATTTGGTTTCATTGCAGTAAAGTAAAACCAATAGTATGAAAAGATTGGTTGATTAAATATTTGAAAATTGGACATACATAGTGATAAACATTTTTTTTATTTTTAAGAAAAAGTGTACCAGAAGAGTAATATGATTATTCTTTTTGACAGAGGTTTATTTCTTCATTTCCTCAAATCTTTGTAAAAATGAATTTAAAAATTCCAAAAAACAATTTAAAACGTGCCCTTAAATGATTTTATTTTTTTATTACAATCTTAAGATAGTAATTATTTATTATTGTAATCAATTATCATTGATCTTAAATGATAATCCCTAAATATTGTAATGTTTCGATATTTTAGAGTCCAAATTTAATGCTGTAGTAGTAGTGAAATGTTTGAGCCATATTTATATATGTTATGAATGATTTATAAAGCTTTATTTGTTGTCGTTCTCGCTCATGCTCATGTAATTTGTATTTACGCTAAAGAAAAGTTTAATTACAACTTACAACTTATGTTTAGTTACCTTGCACATTCACCCCCTTAAATACTCTAAAATGTAATTGGCTGTGATTTTACTATACATCATTTGCTTAGGTGTTCTATTTTAAATGCTTTTAATTTATAATGGTTTCTCTGTACTTAGTTACTTTCTAAACGGTTGTTCTTGCTAGTTTTATGTTGTGTAGAAACAATTTCAAGACCAGATCACTCTGTTGAACACAGAACATTCACAGTTTGGTCTTTGATTAGTTTTGATATTTATGGATTTCATGTAGCTTCCAAAGCATTGTAGAAAGAGATATCAACTAATTTGAAGAACAGTATCTAAAGTATTATAAATAGAATGACTTTGCACCTGGAATTTAAATTGCAGTGTTGTAGATTGTAAAAATGGGGTTGTAGTCACTGTAGTCAGTAACTATTTTCATACAAAAATTTTTTTTTCAAAAATAACTTTTTTAAATTTCTATGAATTGGGGGAACGTAGTTGTTTCATGAGGTGAGAGGCATAGATAAACTCTTTTCATGAAGCAATAAGAAAAAAATAATTTCTTGTTCATGTACCACTATGTCATTGTGCATAGCAAGCAAATAAGATTCAAACTTTTGAGTTTTAGTGTACATTCTTTGACACATATTTGCAGTTCAATAATTTACAATATTCTACTAAATTCTTAACAAAGTTTACTGGTATTTGATTTGTTTAATTTTAAATACATTAAAGTCCCACAAACTCAGCACCTAATAACTCAGCAGACTTTTCAGTGCACAATTTTTACCTATGTTCCTCTGAAACCATATTTTGGGTGTATTATTTGTTGGTAACTCTGCCTGCTACGGCCAACTACAAAAATTAGTAGCTTCAATTGCATTGTCTTTACACTGTCTTTGTCATCGAGTCCATTGGTGTAGTTAGCATTTTCCAGTGTGGGAAGGCTCACCATTGTTGCAGTCAAGAATATAGGTCACTTACCAATATGAGGTTTTTTTGGAAAAATCTGAATGGGAACACCATTCCCACACGTCCGCCCCACTAACACCACGTATTGAGTCTTAGCAATTCTAGCAGATATTGAGTCTTGGAAACGTGATTTATGCATAGGCCTACTTGATAACCTGCGCTAGCCTCTCAATTTCAGACACTACCATAACGTTAATTTTTTTTTAGGGAAAAGTTCTTTGATTGTTTAAATTTACAAATGTTTATGATGTAGTGTTTTTAATGATAACATGAGAAATTGAAAATAAAATGGACTTTGGTACATCTTGGTTTTAATTTGATGTCCTTTTTCTGATAATCAAGCTTTTTCCTTACCGAACCACTGTGCTTACTATGCTTACACCGAGTTTGTGTACCTTGATGTAGATCGACTTATTTACTGGTGACAAAAGTCAAGAATGACTTCTAAAGAAGGTTTACTAATTATGTGTGGTGTTGCTCTTTAGGCAGGGAGGTGGTGTTCCAGTGTCGAGACGAAGGGCCACTAAGGGCTTCTGTGAGGTGGATCCGTAGTAACAACGAACCTCTACCTCCCGGCTCACGGGATATCAAGGGACGGCTCGAGATGCCAAACATTCAGGTATCACAAACATTAGTTCTTTAAAATATTAACCATACACAAGAGACTATTAAAAAAATTCACTTAGCTCTTTGATGTAAAAGACAGCTTAATTTGTCTGAAATGAAACCAAGCAGTTTATGTATTGGTTATTAAAGTTTATATTTGTAGTATACCGGTGTGACTGGTTAAAATTTACAATTGTTAAAATATCAGTATCAGTATATCTAGTAATGTCGATTGAAGTTTTTCATATTGTATCCATAAAAACAATATTATATTACAAGTCAGAAAAATTAGACTTCTATCCAGGTGTTTCTGCAATTGATAATTGAAATAGAAGTGCCTTTTCAAAGTAGATTTGTTGTAATAACCTTTTATCACCTCATTTTTTTATGCACAATCTTTTCTCGAAATCTCCTTCAACAAGTCGATGGTCAGTAGCAATTGATTTACAGACAAAACGATGTATCCTTTATCAAAGACACATATGTTCCTCATCATCTTTTTCATATATTTTAATCGTATTATGCTGTTTTTTTAAGTATTTTTGTTAAAGTTCTGTGCTTTGGTTTTGATTTAATTTAGACTAAAACATGTTTTGCTTTCAGCTGGAGCACACCGGAACTTACATCTGTGAGGCTATTGGTTTCTCTCCTACCACACCAGGCTCCAGGGCTTCTGTATATCTCAGAGTAGAACCATGTAAGATGTTGGAAATGCTTCAAACTTATATCTTTAGACACATTCTGTATCTGCATGACAATGGTTAACGTACTGTAGTAAAGTAAACCTATGTGTAAACAGAAGTGAATAGTAATCGTAGAATCAAGGTAAGATGTTGACTATACTACTGAAAATATTCCCCACCCTTGAAGACGAGCAGACGACCAGTTGAAGACTAGACACTAGTGTAATCACACATAATTTCCACCTTTCGTTCTTACTAATACAATAAGTAAAGTAATTACTGTTAATTGGCCATATTTTAATAAGGAATACTACATCTATTGGCTTCATAACTGGGTATGATCCGGGAATTAAAAAGGTCCTTAAAAATTCCTACAGAAACCTACTACCACTCCTGCTAAGTAAGCCTACTACCAATGATTATAGTGTTGTAAGTGGATATAATGGCATGGCCGTATCTCAAATTATAGTCTATGTCTTCATCAAAAAATACATATAGACATGTAAAGTTCACATTTAAAAACAAAAAGAATATTTTTAGTCAACGCTAGGCCGGACTCACTTGAATCATGAAACAACACAACACAGGCTGCACGGCAAACGCAACGCACTCAAATCTTAATGGTACCCAGGCAAATTTGTATACCTCCTATTGTTTACAACAAAGATAATTTTTTTAACTTACATGCTACGGAACAACCAATCCACTCTGCCTTGAAGAAACTATTTCAATCGCTATACTAAATGGTGTTTGAGATTCCACAAACCTACTTACTGTTCTGTATCATGGACATGTTGACATTTTTGCAAGCAGCTGGGAAATTTAAACCACTGGGAAAAATGAATGAAAACGTGGCTTTGTCAAAGTATGGTGTCCGCACTGACACTGACTTGGATACTTTCGGATCAGGTATCAAAAAAGTGTTTATTGCTTACGTTAGACTCAGTTGTAGACATATTGGAAATTTGCATAGAAAGGATAAGTCTGCAGTTTAGATTTACGTAAATCACTGTAGTTGTTGTTTAAGTTTTTAGTAAATATTTCTCATGCATTTTCCATTTCAAAACTAACTATAGCCTTAGTATTGACAATTTATTTGAGCTAAGTGTAATCTTATGTTCAAATTATTAGAATTAGTATTTCATATTTAGATTTTTTCATAGTCAGACTTAGATCTTGTCCAAAATTGTAATAGCTATTTGACACTTACTTTTAGGTTTTAGTATCCATTTGTTAGGATGTGTACATTGTTTGCAGAATTTGCAGGTAGTATTTTGTCTTCATAATTACAATTTAAAAACCTTTATCGAGTTAAAATAATATTGATGTTTGGCTTATTCAACTTTTTTTTCTCTTGCTTGCATTACTAAACTTGAATATGTGGTAAGTTTTTAATGTGATATTCTTTATCCAATTATTTACATAGAACACTTATGTAAAGAGTATCCCAGCATGCTATTATTAGGTTTATTGAAATATAGTTTTAGACAATAACTAAAGAAATTAGCCTCTGAACATACTAGAATTTGTATAAAACTTATTCAAATTCCAAACCATTATAATTTTAATATTTTATATAGCATTGGACAAAAGAAAATTTTAGTTTTTATTTACATAGGTATTAAGATTAACATTTTGTTTCAAACTTAACGTAAGACAGTCAGTACAAAGTTGAAATAATTTCAATATTCCCTTTTCCCTAAGTATTTATTTTTGGATTCGAGTCCATTACATTACCTTCATCAAACTACTGAAAGTTATTATTATTATTAATTAAAATTTATTTAACATTGAATTAAATTTGAATTTTTCTCTGTGAATAAAAGTAAAAGTTGAAATTTCAAACAAACATTTTAATGTGAAAACAACAAACTATCACTCTAAAGTTTAGTACTCAGATTAGATTACTCAATACATTCAAATTTCTATACTTTCAATAATTGTGAAACACTTTCCAAATTTGTGTTTGGGTTGCATGGTTAAATTGTTTATCAAATAATCTGAAAAACTTTAATTGAAAATAAAATGTGAAGACTTTGTTCTTTTGCAGTTGATGAAATCGCCGTGCCAACTCGTAAAGCTTGTGGATTCAACGAGGCTACATGTTCAAACGGAGATTGCATCGCTAAGAACCGTGTTTGTGATGGGAGAAACGACTGTACTGATGGATCAGACGAGATAAGATGCAGTAAGTATTCTCACTGTGTGTAAAAAGTTTTTCTTACATAAATTAAATCCCTGGATTAAAACTGGCACTGCCAAGTCCGTTGATCCTGCAGAATTTCCAGCATCTTTTCCCAAGGTTACGGCCTCCTGTGTTTGAGTGACGTTGGAGACATTTCTGTTATCGGCTGTAGAGGAGGAGGCTCGTTCATTGACAGGATTAAAATGGTGTTGCAATGTGATTATGGAGAGGAGGGATATTTGAGCAAGGCTCAGACTAGGAGTTCGCCAAACTGATGGAAGTCCGGGGAGAAGATTTAGATAAACGTTGGGACAATACTTTTTAATACTTTTCAATCAAATGGCGACCATACAAAGTAGGTATTTTAAGCCAATACTTCAGTATTGGGTTCAATGAGAGTGGTAATGTCATTAGAAGCTTTTAAGGGTGTGGACTATGACTTAATTTTAACTACTTATCCTAGTACAAAAAAAATAAGCACCTCTAGACTACTCTGATTTCAGTATGCAAGAAAGCCCAAATATTTTACGTATAGTCAAAAAGGACATAGTACAAAAGAGATGCAGTATTTTGAACAAAAATTGGTTACGAGTTTTTCCACAGATCCGCATGGGTGTGAGCCGAACGAGTTCCGTTGTGACAACAAGAAGTGTGTCCAGAAGACTTGGAGGTGTGACTCAGACGACGACTGCGGGGACGGCTCAGATGAGAGAAACTGTGAACCGAGCCCTCCAGGTCAGTCTTTGTGTAATTCATCTGTATTTCTTTTAAATAATATTGTAAGAATATAGTTTGTAAAATGGTGTTCTATACCATAGTTAGGTATATGAGTGTTTTAGTGCTCACCTGGAGATCAAAAGGTTAACACTTTAATCCTTTAATCAAGTCATTAGCATTTTGATGGTTCAAAACTTGTGCTATCTGTCCTTGATCTTTGGGATTTTAATAAATTATCTTGACTAATAAAACAGCTGATCCATTCTACACTTCAGTTGCATTAATATTCAGCTTAGAAACCACAATAGAGTGTGGGCCAATGTCTTAAAGAATTGATAATAATTATGGTCAATGATTGTTTGAAAAACTAAGAGTAAAGTTGTTTTTTTCATGATTTATCGTTATTACTTGAACATCTAGCTTTGCTGAGTAATTTCTTTTTGAAACTCTTTTTAGCGAATTTCCCTATAGGGAAGTAGCTATTACCGTAGGTCTCATGGTAAGACTTAAGCCCGGGACCGATTTACTTTTTCATTTTGATGTCCCCAGAGGCCAAAAACACCATTCGTTCAAATTTTTATATATCTATATATAGAGATATATATATATATATATATATGTGTGTCCATCCGCACGATAACTTGAGTAATTTTTGTCCGATTTTGATAAAATTTGGTTTGAAGGTGTAAGGCAGGATAAACTTGAATGAGTTCGCGAACCAGCATGATCGGACTATGGGAACGGGGGTTTATGGGGGGTTTTATGGGGTAAAAATAGGTTTTTCCCATTTTTGACCCTAAAAACACAAGATTTTACAATTTCTTTTTAAACCATTTTGTAGAGCTTAAAAAAACAAATAATTTAGTATATTGAAGCGTTATTATCCGCCTAATTGTTACGGAGAAAATTCAAAAAAATTGTAATTTTAAAATTCCCATGTTATTCTTATGGAGAATAAGTCAACTGTTGTAGTTTGCTTGTTTATGAACATATTTTGATCAAATTTGGAAAATACATTAATTTCTTACTAAACCACAGTACCTTTTAATATTTTACATTAAAAAAAACTTTTTTACCCTCCCTGTTGCAGCAAACCTAAGTACTCATTAAACTAATTCTGTTTAAATAGGGAATAAATGTGATATTTTTAAGGAGACAATTTAGTTTAAATCTAATCAGGCAGATGGAAATTCGCTAAGTCTGCAGGTTTGCTGCGGCGGGGGTATTATGTTCCCACCATAATTCTGAATGGTTCTCTTTCTGTTCCCCATTTTTTTGTGACACTAAGGCTCTTATTAGACGAGGCAGCCAAGTTGCGCAACCAGCCGGGCAGCCAGTCGCCTGTCTGGCTGCCTAGCGTAGCAACCAGTAGAGCAACCAGTAGAGCAGCCACAGGGCAGCCACAAAATTACCAACTAGGCCAGTCTCTTGTTGACAGTGGAACAGTGTTGGTGGAACAGTTCTGTTAGGGAGAGACGCTGTCAGAATGCGATATGAATATTTGCTTCTTCTGCTACTCATGAAAAAGAGAAGATAAAGGAAGAGGAGGATGCATATACATCCTATTCTTTCATCAAGAACAGAAAAAGGATTTTATTACACCAACTACACAGTTATATTACAAGAATACTGAGGAAAACAACACAACAATGATGTGACCGGCAGAGATGAACGCACTTCCACGAGTGATGATCTACTACTGATGTGTGGCAGCGGGTGACTGGCTGCCCAGTGTAATAAGATCCATAAGCTACACAGGAGCGCGACCAGACCGAGCAGCCAGTGGTTGCCTGTGCGGTCGCCGGGCACGGCAACCAGCCGGCAGCCAAACAGTGGCTGCGCAACTGGCTGCCCTCGTGTAATAAGCTCCATAAGAACCAATGCCAAGTGACTGGCTGGCCGACTGGCTGCCCGGCTGGCAGCGCAACTTGGCTGCCTCGTCTAATAAGGGCCTAAGAACTCTGATTACATTTTACTAAACTTTATTATTTAGCATCACCTGTCTATTTCATTTACCAATGATGACTACCACTGATAAGCAGTTTTATTTTTAACTTACTCTGTCGGTTGAAAGATAGATTCATAACCCAATAAATGCTTGATGTAAGATATTTCCAATGTGTCAGCTGGTCATAATTCATGTTATAACCTTGTCTAGGTTCTGCGTGTCAATACAATGAGTACCAGTGTGCCAGGAGGGACCAATGCATTCCAAAAGCATTCCATTGTGACATGGAGGTAGACTGCCAAGACGGCAGCGATGAGTTTGGTTGTTGTAAGTAACTAGTTTGCTACAAATGTGAATGGTATGGTTATTTTATTTATTGCTCTAATTTTGGATGCAGAGGCTGTCCACAATTCCTCCACAACATTCACAATTACTTACATAAGTAGTTTTAGATATTGAGTTAACAGTTTGGAGTTCCAATGAGGAAGGAGAATGACTTGTACTTCACTTACAGTTTACAACATGACCCTTACACATTATATTTCATCATAACTTTAAATTTATCAAAAATAATGATCTGCAATATTTCTCTTTCACTGGCTCGTGTACATTAATATAGTTCTTAATGTTTTCTCTGCTGATTCTTTTCCACAATGAATCCCTCTTGTTGGTCCACAGCAAAGGCGGAAATTCAGAAGCCACCGCCTTCTATGGTAGTGAAGCAGCCTGGTGAGACGTTCATCATCACTTGTACGGCAGTGGGCGTTCCTACCCCGGAGGTGGTGTGGCGGCTCAACTGGGGACACATTCCCCCCAAGTGTCAAACCACGAGTAGGGACGGCTACGGTGTCCTTACCTGCCCTAATATTCAGGTGCGGGACGATTACATGAATGTACTGGAGTTCTCAAATTTTTACTACTATTTTTATTTTTAGGCTTCCTGTAATCATGTTGTTCCCTAATTTTCATAGAAATTATTTCCTTTCAAGTTTTGAGATGCAGATATGTGTGGAGCTTACGTGCCCTAATATTTAGGTTCGGAACAATAACACTTAATTATGTTTATCAAAATTCTCAAATGCATACTTCTACTTTTTGATCCAGTGAATAATTTGTAAAATGATTTTTAAGTGAATATTTATTGTAAATAAGAATAGGTAAGAATAGTTTTCCACTCTCCAAAATCTTTGGAAAATTCCTAAACTATTGTGTTGGGTCATCAAGTTATTAGTGTGTCTTTAAGCTTGAGGACTTCCATTTCTTCACTCGTAGTTTTGGATTTAATGCACAATAAATCATTATAATATAATGAAAAACTCAAGAAAATACAACACACTCTCCGAAAAAGATCCTGGTGGTATAGACAAAAGATATTTACAGTTCTTAACATTTAACTTATTCTGTGATGCTGAAGAAACAACATCACCTGTTTGTGTCCGCCGGGCTACGAAGGACGGCGCTGTGAAAAGTGCTCAGAGCCGTACTATGTTTTCTTATGTTTTTTTATGTAAAACTTCCAAAGCCATAGCACTTAGAAAATTAAATATTTAATTCATTGAATATTCTTCATTTCACTATACAACTTCTACACTCTTTTAAGTACCACCATTGTTGGTGTCAATGAACTTAAACTGTCATAATCCAAATAAAATAAACATTCAACATGTTTGGCAGGAGTCGGACCAAGGCGCTTACAGTTGTGAAGCCCTCAACAACCGAGGGTCGACCTTCGCCATTCCTGACACGATACTCGTGGTTAAACCGTCTCACACGACCTGTCCCGAAGGTTCGTTCAATGACTTGGCTACAAGACCTGACGAGTGCATTCCTTGCTTCTGCTTCGGTGTCACCACCAAGTGTCGCAGTGCCGACCTGTATATTTACCAGGTACGTTTGTGACTTGTAAAACTATCAATTTTGAAAAGGATTTTAAGATTTATATTGCACTTCATGATTTAGTAAATTTTATATTCCATTAGTAGTACTGTAAGTGGTATTTTTAGGTGTGCGCTCAAATTTCATGTGTGAGGTAAAGCCTTACAGAAGTGCACTCTATCACATTATATAATGGTTTTTAGAGTAATATGCATACTCGGTAGTTTGGTTGTAAGGACATTTCTTCCACATTTCTTTCCGCAATATTCACTTCCACTTCTTTCCGCAGTTGCCTCCGCCCTTGGATGTCTATAGGATAGTAAATGTCTACGTTCCTTCTTCAGGAGGCATAGAGATCCGGCGAGGTGAGACTTCCCAGTTCCAGGCTTCCATCCATCCTTCAGGAAGGAGTGGGTTCCAGGTATGCATCCCTAACTATAATGCACCCCCATAGTTGGGCGTTAATTCAACTATAGTGTCATGAATTAATTATTAAAATTAATTACCTGGGTGTATGAGGTAAATTTTATTTTTCAAATAGAATATATTGTTAAGTATTTTTTAAAATTTTTTTATGGATTAGCATGACTCTTCAATGTTTTGTATCGCAGTTGCACTGTCTTTGACATAGTAAAAAAAAATATAAGTGTGTAGGACCTATTCAAATGGCAAAACACATTTTTATATTTATCATTTTTAAAGTTACACTTAAGTTCTTTTGATTGAGTAAAATCATTTTCTTTTACTTTGAAGATTGTGGTTTGGTAGTTTACTTGGATTTATGGATATATATTGAGAACATTTAGTAAATTATTTGTTTCTCACAAAGTTAATAACACTTAAATAAAAAACACACTTTATGACATTCCATGTACCAGCAAACCAAAGTACTCACAAACCTAATGGGGAATAAATCTAACATGTTTAAGGGAGTATTTCAGTGGAAATCCAATCAGGTAAATGGGAATTTGGATTGCTTAGTCAGCAGGTTTGCTGAAGCAGTTTTCAAAATCCCCAAAGATTATAATTTAGTTTCTATTGTACATTTATTGCGTTTTTTTTCAGATATCATTGACAGACAATGAACTGAAATCTTCATACTACAATCCCGTGTATCCGTACTTTGCCTTGCCAGAGAACTACCATGGCAACCAGCTCAAGTCTTACGGAGGATTTATCAAATACACTGTCAAAACTGACGGAACCGGCAGCTCACTTCCTATACCTGATATCATCCTCTCTGTAAGCTATTTCAACTTATTCCAAATCTGTGTAAAGTTACATTATAGAAGTAAGTATATGTCCGCTTGGAGCACTTTTTTTACTATTGAGATTTTTTTTAGTTGAATTTCTACTAATTCTTTAAAAATGGGGTTCCATTTTTGAACGGGACATTTCATTTTTGTCACAGAGGTAGAGTGGAAAAACTTAAAACTGGCACTTAAGTTGTAAGCCTCTGTAGCATGTTTTAATTTACATTTAAAACTCTGTAATCTTAGAAAAGTTTATTATTTATTCACCAATAATGTACCAGAAAGGAAATGTATCCAGAAAAAAACTTTCTAATTGTAATTTTTATGCTCATACTTGTATTACAGGAAACATCTACCGCATATCGGATTGGTTACACAACTTCAGTACTTTTCTGTAACAAAAATCTGAAATACACTGTCTAAGCGCTTTTCTGTTAAATTTATTTCATTATGCTCAAGTTGTGTTCATATGGCCCTGAAACATTTTATTGTATTCAGTTTGTTGAATTGAATTTGAACGACTTGGTAAATCTTTATGACAACTGTACTGTTTTTAAAGAAAATGTATGAAAAACAGCATTTTCTATTGTCAACTTGAATCTTATGTTCGTCCGTATTGATAAGGGTTGATTATTGAATATTTTTAGTTTTGTATTATTATTTTAAAATTTAACATTTCTAACATTCTGTTTCAGGGCAACAACTACACCCTGGTGTTCAAAGGACCTCCCCTTGATCCCCGGAAAGAGAACAACATCGCTGTCCAGTTCTATCCGGGTAACTGGTACAGAGTCAGTCAGGATAACAGGGAGTATCCGGCATCTAGACAGGATATCATGATGACTCTGCAGAACATTGATCAGCTGCTTATCAGGTGAGTTGCCGGATAGACGGTTTCAGATTCAACAATCCATCAAATACTTTTAATAACAACCTCAAATGAAACATTCAGAACAAATTAACCCATAGCGATTTGGAAGTGCCCGTGAACGCCAGGTAAATTACATATGTTCAGGGGCACTCCCATATTGCTAATGATATAGCTTTTTTCCATGAGTAGCGGAGCCAAATTAGTCGGTATTGAATATCTTATCAGACTAACAAAAAAAAAAATGGTTCACACAGACAATCAACGGATTTCAATGAGTAGGCCTACAATTTTAGTATTTTTATTTTATTTTCTTTCTCATTTTGCCGTCATGATTCCAATAAGAGTACATAATTAATTATTTCAAAAAGGATAATGCTAATTTATAACACATCTACCATAGCCATAATGTTCCACCACTGAACCTAAACAATAGAAAAAAGTAAATTATCAATATCAAACATTAGCACAATATCGTAAACTATTTATTAAATTAAAAACATAAACATAACTGTAAACAATCCTACTTTGACAGTTCTCATTGTGTATCACACCTTTTTTTTGCTGCTTAATATTGGGTTGTCTTCTGTTCTTTTTCTTCTTTTGACCTTGTCTAAACCTAAAACATTTCTACTTGTTGCCCAGGACGCAATACTTCAGTGATGGTCTGGAGACGACCATCACAGACATCAACATGGACTCTGCAGCCTACAGTAACAGTGGTCAAGGTCAGGCAGCTTACGTAGAGAACTGTGAGTGTCCCGTCGGCTACTCTGGGCTCTCTTGTGATGTAAGTACTACTGCTCGTACAACTGAAATTCAGTCAAATTCTGTTAGCTGCCCATAATAGCATGAAGTGCGTTGCTAGCCAGATGGTTTACTTTTGTAATTTCAAATCAAGTTTAGAAATAAAAACAGAACCTTAAAGCTAAGCAAATTTAATAAGAAGTCCAAAAAGGAAAGCTAAGCAAATTTAAGAAGAAGTCCAAAAAGGTTTGAGTAGTTGGGCCACTATCCTTCGATGAAAATTGAAGGTATATTTTTAAGGACCTCAAAATACCCCTTTCTTTGTTTGTATATTTATCTTGGTTTAATTTATGAAAAGGAAAATTTGGATCTTTTTGTGAACTTAAAAAACTTGATCCAAACGTTAAATGTACCAAAAAATAGGCTGCATAAAATAGTCCCTTCCAAATGTATAAACTCTTGGAAATAAGTTGCCTAAAAAGGTACATGTCCTCCATGACATTTTTTTAAATGTAGGCTAAGGCTCTGTATTTATCATGAAAAACTGTTTTTGCAATGTGAATATTTATGACTGGAACCTGGACTCTTATGAGTTTAATAATTTATAATAGAAAAGCTGGAAAGTTTCCAAACACGTCATAGGGTTTTTAAACAAACAGATGGTCTTAGCCAGTAAAAAGCTGCATAGATCATCTCACTCTATTCAATACTCATTCATGTTTGGATTATATACACCTAGTTTAGTTGCTTACCTGTCATTGACAATATGTTGCAGAGTTGTGACCGAGGTTTCATGCACACCGAGAACGGACCATGGCTCGGCAGATGTGAACAACAGGTTGACTGTCCGCCCAAGTATTACAAGGATCACAGGGACAACCGTTGCCAGCCGTGTCCGTGTCCTCACACTGACTCACACCAGTAAGTCTACCGATGTTTAGTTTTCGGTTCAAATGTGTTTTCAATATTTTGTTAAGTTGTACGGTTTTTTAATTCGTTGTAGTGTAAGGTATATAATGGGAACAATTTGAGATGCACCCAGTATTTATTACCTACTCTTACTCAAATTTAGAGGTATGCTTTGATGGTCATAGACTGTCAAATAATGGTCTACAAGAGGGACCGTGTTGTTGAGCTGACAAAGGTTTTGGTCGATGTTCGATGTTACAGCAATCCATCTCCGGTGTAAGTTAAAATTTAACTTGGTTGTAGCTGTGTTGAGTTTTAGCTTGCTCTAGATAATTTGCCGTAACTCATCCAAATGTTGTGTATTTTTGCAAGTTCAATTAAGAGCCCTTGGAGCGTAGACGTTCTAACTCATGAAACAATTAAAAAACTACGAAGCAAATTTCTAATCCCACAGTATACTAGATACTTAAATTACAACCACTTTGGTGTGAAAAAATATTGTGAGGTGGTAAATAACTCTGTAGCAGCTGTTTGAAAATAACAAAATTAACATTGCTCTTATGGCGGGCAAATCCAAGATGACCGTTGGCTTCCATGAACTCCCTTGGAAGACATTCAAAATAGCAAACGACATTTCTAATCTCACAGTATACTAGATCTTTACATTATAATCAGTTTGGTGTTTGAAAAACTATTTTGGGATGATAATTAAGTCTTCAGCAGCTGTTTGAAATTATCCAAGATGGCCGCTAGCCCCCAAGGACTCTTAAGTCATCAACAGGTCAACTCAGGTAGACTGATTCAAAGATTCAATAATCTTTCTAGACTATTGAAATATTGTACAGATATTTAGGATTGGACCCTTGACTGAACCAAAAACTATAAAAAATGCAAAAGTACTCAATAAAGTACAAAAAGTTCACAATAATGCAATGGATAGGTTTTAAAAGCTCACACTCTGTGCACATAGTTTGTATACTACTGCACTATACTAAATGCTATAGACCCGTGTAAGGTGAGTCGGTGGCTCATTTGTTATCGTCCCGGGCTTCGGGCCCAAGGCATTGATGTCGTGGGTTCGGATTCTGGTCACTGCCACAAACACTTAATCAGTACAGTTCACCTTATTACTGTTCTGGCTCACCCCTTGCTTTGCTGGATTGCTGGATATGTTCCACGCACAGATCTGTAGTCTATGTGGACGGGCAAATGCAAGGTTAAAAGGGGCCACCTCTTTGGGAAAAATAATAATAATAATAATAATAAAGGATACATCAAATATCTGAGTATGATACTGAGCAAGGCAAACAGGTTGTGACTTGTTTATTTACATGGGTGTGAACAAAGTAGTGTATGTATGCAACTAACTGTAAGAGAAATACACAGATGGTCTGAATCAAACGGATACTAATAAAACTTTTATTAGTATCCGTTAAAATGCACAAAATCAAGGTGTAGTCTACTGTATTGGTAGCTGTAGTCCTTTAGCTCGAGTAAGTCTTAACGGTTTGATTGTGGCGCAGGTTTGGCACGTCGTGCATTTTGGCGTCAGACAACAACATTACCTGTTCGTGTCCGCCGGGCTACGAAGGACGGCGCTGTGAAAAGTGCTCAGAGCCGTACTATGTTGGGAACCCACTGCAGGGACAGGCTTGCGTCCGCAGACCTCGTGAGTACTCGGAACTACATTGGAAAATTTTTACATACTATGGAAAATTGTCTATAGCTTATGGCAACTTGTTGCCAATAGCTATAATAGATACCATGCTGTTTGTAGCATGACTGTCAATGGCAAAACCAAAATTTATCAGAGAGAATGTTTTACTGTACTAAAAGAATTATATAAGGTGAAGAAGGTAAAGAATTGAATATTTGTATTCATTATTTTATTTCGAACAAAATAATATGCTGAAACATCGGAAACTAAGAAAATTCTATTTCTGAAGTATTCACATCATGTGTGAGCTCTGTTGCAAAATTACAGAATGTTACAAGTTTTTCCCTCCATTTATATCAATTACTGACTCCGATTTTTATATTGCAGCTGAATCTGAGTGTGATGCAGCCGGATCAAGATCATCCCAACCAGACCCCTACACCGGCCAGTGCTTGTGCAAGGTAGGCTATATGGATACTCCTCATACTTTTCCATACTTTGAAAATCATAATTATGAGTCACCTCATTTGATACCTAGAAGTGTTGGTCCACTCAACACCACACTTAACAATGAGTGCGCTTGTAGTGGTTTGTGGTCAGTGGTGCTGTTTTTGTTATTTCACCAGTGCCAACTGCGTGCAGAATTAAAATAGGTTATGAGAGTCTAAAAATTGCAGCTAAACTGTTGGTATAGTGTAATAATTTAATCTAGAACGGGGGCCTCAATGTGCCACATTTGAATTATTTTTATTTAATGTGTTGATGTATGTCAGTTAATGTAGTGTCATTAGTAGTGTATTTTTATGCCTTTTATTTTTTTTATTACTTTGTGCAGTTTATTTAATGAAGAAAATAACCCTGATAGAAGGTATTAAATATAGTAAATCAGGCATCCACCCGTTTAAAATAAATTATACATGATAAATCATTGTTCTCAGAATTAATTTTAATCTTATTTATTAACAATTTATTTTCTTAGATTGTCGAGATGAAAAATGTGTGCCTTTAAAACTATCTAATTAGCCTAATGGATTTTTCTTGAAATTTATATATAGTTAGTTATATTGATGTTTGACCTGAAATCCTGATACAAACTCAACTTTGTCTGTTTCTCATGCTTTTCTCCTGGATCATTTTGTAAGTAACTGGTTTTATCTAATAAACTATAAAGAGTTTGCAAACTTTTAATGATAAAACTTCTTTGCATCTCTAACTTGCCATTTGGCTTTGCAATTTGCTCATTTTAGCTACTATTGAAAAAGTTAAATTTGATGGTTTGGTTGAATTGATTTTGGATGAGTTTTTTTTTGTAGTTAAGTTTTCACAAATTTAGACTTTTGACAAGTTTTTTTGTTGTTGTGACATATAAAATTTGGTCTTATTACATGATATAGGTGGTTAAATAATTTTCTTGTTTATCATAGGAATACGCTACTGGACGTACGTGTAACCAATGTAAGCCGAACACATTCAACTTGGCATCCGGCAACCAGTTTGGCTGCATCAGCTGTTTCTGTATGGGCATCAACACTACTTGCGGCAGTTCTGACCTCTACAGAACACAGGTAATCTAGTTAAGCATTTATTTATTTCTTATTACCATTTTTCTTTCTGTCTCCCTCCCCAGTTCCTCACTAATAGGACTGTTAATTAACATTGTAGCCAATGATTTCTTACTGGTTGTAATAATTTCTGTATGTAAAACAGATCCTTTTGTTTTCTTTAAAAACAAAATCATACAATATATAACCTCTAATTTTTATCGATGGCATTTTATAATGCATAAAGGTCAGGTAAAAACATTGTTGTTGAAAGAAATCACAAAAAATTTAAAGTAAATTTATGAATCTTTGTTCTAGTAAAAAGGGAATAAATGTTAAAATTTTGTTTGTTAGCTTTATGCATCAATTGGACCTCGCCGACAAGTTTTTTTTTAAACTTGGTGAGGCCAAGCTGTTGTAATTTCTTTAATAAATATATTTGAATTTGAAATATTTGTAAAAACTGTTTCATATCTTGACTTTTTATTATTATATTCTATTTTAACGGATATCAATTATTTTGTTCACAGATTGTCGCTGCTTTTACAAGGGACAATCAGGGATTCAAGCTTGCTGAAGCCAACCATCTCAACGAACCGATTACAGACATTCAAGTGAACCCGTCCGCACAAGAGATTTACTTCCAACAGTTCAATCCAGGGGTAAGTTTATTCAATCTATCACTAATACATAAATAGTTATAGCATCTTAAGTTATTACTTTTTATTTTGCATCTAATAGTAGATTGTAACTAAAATGTTGACCTTCTTTTGTACCGCTAAGAAACAAAAGATTTAGCTATAAGTTTATAGCCTGCATCAATTTCATAATAGTTCGTTAGGAGGTAGGAATAGCATGGGTTACTCTAACACTGTGGAAATAATAATACAGACTGTTGTGAAGACAATGCTAATCTATATATATAAAATCCAATCTATGTTTGTTTGTTTGTTTGTCCTTAATGGACTCCGAAACCGCTCGACAGATTGTAATGAAACTTGCAGGCATTATTAAGCATTATTCAAGGATGGTTTGTGTGAAGTTTGGTGCAGATCCGTCAAAAGGGCTCCGCCGCAGTGGCTCTGGAGTTTTCCATTTTAACTTTATGAGTACTAATATTTAAATGGAATTAAATAATCTTAACAGCTGGTTCAACTAAACAATTTGATTCTGTGATGTTAAATAGCATTAAAAAGTTAATAGGTTTACAAACAGGGTGCAGCACTATCATTTTTGTAATTTATGACAACAGCTAATTTGCAACCAAAAGGTGGGTGAGCGTAGCGAGCGAACTTCAACCTGGAGGCTAGGTAGCGTAGCGAACGAGCTAACCGAAAGGCAAGTGAGCGCATCGAACGAGCTCATCTTGAAAATGAACGAGCATTTAACATAAAACCACATTAGGACAGGACGACGTCTGTCGGGCCAGCTAGTATGTTATAAATGCTGCAATGCTTGAGCCCTTTCTCCAATGTAACTGACCTTCGTTTGTAAGAGCTGTTGACTCATTGGTCCATGTTTTTTTCCAGACCTACTACTGGATGCTCCCAAGCAAGTTCCTCTTTGACAAGGTGACATCTTACGGCGGCAACCTGCGCTATACTCTCCGCTACATTCCCGGCCCCAGCGGCCAGAGGTCCAAGAACAGCGCTCCAGATGTTGAGATTATTAGTGTGAGTATCTGAATATCTGAGAATATATTTGTTTGGATTTTTTTTTAATTTCATAAATCTTATTTAGAAAAAGAATAAATGAACTTAACTGAATGACAGTGGTCCAATATTTCCAATCATTGAAAAGACCCTTTTACTTTTTTTAGCTTTGGTGATTGCTGAAGTTCAAAAGTAGATTGTTGGTTGTGCTATTGGTGTAACTGATGATAGTCAGTTTCAAACCCAATTTCTTAGTAGTGCCATTAATATTAGAACTAGGGGTCTGCGGTGCACCGAAAAAGTCGGTAAGGTACGGTACAAGCTTAATTACTGTCAACGGTTCGGTACAGCATTTTACACGGTACAAATTCGGTTCAGTACAGCCTAATTATAATAATAAATTACTTTCAGTTTACTATCGTAGTAAACGACAGTTGGTTCGGAGCACATAAAAGTCTTATCAGATGTTTGTTTACGATCTTCATAATTTATTACTAGGGTGATGATGCAATAATAACCCCATTAGTAGTTCCAAATCCAATAACATTTTATCACGACAATAATTGTTGTATTCAAGTACTTCAAAGAACTGTTGAGTTTTATCACTTTTATTTCTTTACGACTTTCTCCAAATCTATTTTATCATAAAAATAATAATTTTATGATGACTGTTAAATGTTATCTCTAATTCAGTCAGTATTTTCGTAGATATTCAATTTGCCGCTGGCCATTGCCTACTGCCATAAAACTGTTTATGGCTACATATTTAACTTGTAACTAATCTACAATCTTATTTTATTAGTTAAAATATTTGTTATAGATATTTTATCTTTCTATTGACAACCACAAGCATAGTTGTTGTTGTTTGCATTATTTTTGTTTTCGTTATTCAAGCCTACTCGGTCTCAAATTATGACATTACATGTTCTGTATCTTGTCTTATATTGTTAGATGTGGCTGTTTAAGGCTTAAAATGTTTTTTAGTTTCCTGTATTTTTGTGTTGTGTTGAAGGTACTTTATGCAATCTAAATCTTATAACCTAGATAGTGATTTTGCTACCCTCATTGTAACCTAATCAATTTATATATAGGTCCTCCTAAATATTAGGTCTAGGCCTGGGTCTTTTGATTCTTTGGAAGAGCTTTAAAATATACTAAGAAAATTTGATTGAGCCTAAGATAAACCTATGATTGATTTGATTGATATTGTGGATGTTAACTTTGTAAATGAAAAGACAATAATCTTACTCTGTGATAATCCAAATTTTAGTTTTAGAAAAAAAACTTTTTAAGAGTTTTATAACTAGTTTTGAAGCTGATACAAAAATATGCTCTTAGCCATTACTTCATCATAACCTCTAGTGAACAGCTGGCAACTACACTGTCATCGTACTGAATGCTTTTAGGCCTGTATGTTTTAAAAAATTTTAAAAACAACTAGACATTGTGTTGGTTGGAAATAATTTACCATTTGTGTTTAATTATCTTGTCAATAAATGTTTCAAACATGTTTGTTCCTAAAAACTCTTATCATATTTTTAAAACCACTTTCATCATGGCTATTCAAAGTATCTCAGAGTAAAATAGGTAAAGCCTTTATCTTAACTGTGATTTTTCTTAGCACAATCCTCGTAGTAGTAAAAGGTTTTGTTTTAATAATGTGTGGTACAGTAATTGTTGTTAGAAAACCATGAATGTAGGATACTATCCATTTTCATAGTTATGTCAATGTATTAAAGTTAAAAATAATGGTTTAAATACAGTTCTGAGCAGAAAACCACAAAAACACGGGTAGCCGCGTACCGTACCGATTTTGTACCGAGAACCGAGGTACAAAATATTGTACCATACCGAACCGTACCGACCTTAAATTTTCTGTACCGCAGACCCCTAATTAGAACCGGTTGTATGACTTTTTTACTCATTAATATATTTTTCCAGACCTACTATTGAATACTCCCAAGCTAGAATTGAAATCATATCTGTCTTACACATTAATTAATTGTAGTCAGTGAATGCATGACCATGATACACCAGGCAGTATTGTTAATAAATTGTAACAGAAAGAGGATACTCTTATTATAAACCAACATCAATCTCACCCATCATTAGTAGTAAATAAATTAACGATCTGGTACACTTGACGAAATGAAAGTAGTAAGTAAATGGTATTTCTGGCACACAGGACAGTGAAGTTCGTCTGGTGTACTACAACCGCAATCAGCCCCAACCAGAACCCAACAGGCCGGTGACCATGACTGTTCCACTGCTAGAGCAGTACTGGGAGAGAGTGGACGGAGCCCCAGCCAACAGAGAACAGCTGCTGATGGGGCTGGCGGGGCTCAGTAATATTCTAATCAAGGCCACCTACACCACCAACACTCAGGAGGCTGCGTGAGTGTACTTTGTAGTTTTTAAAACTACTTTATGTGTTTACTTGATTAATCGTTTATTTATTAAAGACACAAAACGGAGTTGTCCAGTTACATTGTAGCTTATTCACAACACATAGAAAGTTTTAAGTGAATAATTTGACTAATTTGAGTGACGATAAATACTGTAGACCTCCAAGCAAATGAGCATGAAAGGTTACACAAGTTTTGTGGTCTTCAATCCACTATCTATATGACTAGTTTAGTAGCATATTATAGCTCCAATTTTAAATCTCTCAAGATCGTAGGAATCGTCAATGACATATATTGCCACACACACACATTTAACGGAGTTAAATTATAGTGTCTCTTCTTTATGTGTTTGAATGTTTCTTATGACAACGTTGTCTTTTGAACAATTTTGACGATTATGAGATTTGAGTTGTAATGCTTCAAATATAGTCATTTAACAAAAGGTAGTGGATTTTACAATAAAGAAAAATATTTAACCTATAGTCATTATATCAATCCTAAATTTGAAAATTAATACTGTAAGCAAATAACAAAAACTTCTTTTTTCAAAAGTGACTCTTAAATATTAACTCCTTTTACAAAAACTTTGAACCGCAGTCTGATCTCCGTCTCGTTGGACACGGCTACTGACGACCGCAACACTGGGCAGGCTCGTGCGGTGGAGGTGGAGCAATGTCAGTGCCCGCCTGGCTACCGAGGCACCAGCTGTCAACAGTGTGACGCTGGATACGCCCGCATGGAAAAGGGACTGTACCTCGGAGCTTGTGAACCATGCAGCTGCAACGGTTTCTCCAGCGAGTGCGACCCAGTCACCGGCGACTGCTTGGTGAGGGACTTTGAAATTAAGATTGTTTGTGTGATGTTGTATAATGTTGGCCTCTTAGGTTGTACCTGTTACTTATGTATACAGCATGAATTGACACAATGTAAAATTTTGATTGAATACAATAACAAATACAAACAGTTGCTAGTATCATTGTCTGCAGTCTACTCACTCTTGTTGGTTGATTATTTAACATGAGGAACATAATCGCCTTAGTTAATGAATGTTAGTTGACTGTACAAGTGCCAAGATACCTTGTTGTCACATTAACTGCATGCTGTGGCAACGTAATTCCGAGTTTTTATTTCATTTGTATTTATGTAATTATGGTGGAATAAATCATTATTTCATTAATTCATTATTATTTGTATATTCTAACTCTCGTAAATGTGAGTTGGTGCAGAATCCTTTTTTGCCAAAGACATTAAATTTGGAAGGGTTTAGTTTGTTAAATGTTTTGAATACAGTTTACATTGATAGATGATAGATCATCCCTTCCAGCTACCATATTAAAAATAATAGTATCCCATGTAAAAAGGGAAAATGTGCAAGTTTAGTACTGTATTTTTTAATTAAAATAATCCATTACTATATTTTCTTTTAAAATGTGTATAGTCTGAGACAAATTGCCTCTTACATAAGACAATAATGAAGACTTTTGTTGACAGAACTGCAGGGGTAACACGCAAGGCAACAGATGCGACCGCTGCATCAACGGCTATGTTGGCAATCCTGCCTCTGGTGTTCCCTGCACTAAGGAGTACGGCTGCTACTGTGATCCTAGAGGCAGTGCTAGCTTGACTTGTGAGCAAGCCAATCAGTGCACTTGCAAGGTAAGTTTACTTTTGTCTATAAAGTTATTGAGGGTTTGTAGTGAATTTGATATATATAGTAGAGTCCTACTATTCTGTAAATATTGGGACTGGACTGCGTTCGGATTAGAGGGAATTAGTCGGGTTTAATTCTGATTTAACAAATAAAATCTGGAATACGGAGTTATTTTGACATTGCATAATAATATGTGAAAATTATTTAGATTTTCAAATCCTCGTATTACAACATAGCCAAGTTCTTTGATCAAAATTGCAGATTTTTATGGATAACGAGGCGTAGACCTTAGAACATTTGAACTCTACTCTCCTGCTTACGGCCAATTATGAAATGGGAAGCTACAATGATAGCACTTTGATTGTTTCTGGAGATATTTCAACACTAGGGAATTATTGTTTATGTTGCTATATTTTTACAGCTAATCCTAGTGTACAAGAATAACAATAAAAATGTTCATCCCTAATAGATCTATGTAGCACTGAGAAGCATGTGGTCTAGCCTTCAAAAAATCATTTTACCTAGACCTAAAATTTCATTCTCTGTAGCATGTGGTTCAGTGATTTATATCACAATTTCCGTTAAGGAAAGTGAGTGTGGTTGATAAGGGAAGTTTAGAAAGATGTACAGTAGTTCAGTTAGCTTACCTAGAAAATTTCATTTCAGGGGCTTTTAGAAACAACAAGATTTTACACAACCCCTTAGCCCGATATTTCTTTCCAATACAGATCTTTTTTGAATAGTAGTTTGATGAGAATTTTGTTTTTATTTAAGAGTTGTATCCCTGACATCAATGAATTTTAATTTGTGTTTTTAGAACTTCCCAGCCTTGTCAGTCATAATTTTACCTTGATCAGTAGGCCTATGGTTTGGTAACTAAATTAAACCATCTCATAAAAGTTGCATTAATCTCTGGGAGATTTGAATATGTACTTAAGTATTTCCCATTAAAAACCATACTATAATTAATCTCTTCACTTTCAATAAATCAAATGTGTTTTTCCAGACTAACGTGATAGGCCAGTCATGCAGCGAGTGCAGGCCCGGAACATTCGACCTGTCCGAGTCCAACTTGGACGGCTGTATCGAGTGTTACTGCTCCGGAGTGTCCAACGATTGTCAATCGTCAAACATGCTGCGGGAGGCTATCCCCATGCAGATTGTTGACAAAACCCATCTATTCACACTTACCGATCCGTGAGTTGTTCCCTATCTTCAATTGCTCATTATATATTGGCCTGTTGATTGTCAGAGTTAAGAAATGAATGCTTTGGCTATCTACTGACGGGTGGATCAGTTTGATTTAAGAACAGCTATTTGGTGCCGGAGATTGGAGCACATCTTAGGATTAGATCGTGGAACTGTGGGACGTTCATAAGAGGTTTTCAATTAGCTTGACGCTATGACCTGATGTGCTCGAATTTCTGCAGCATGGAAACAGCCGTAGTAAAACCATACTTCAAAAGTAACACAAGTAACCTTAATTTGCCAATTTTTTTGCTAATTTAGTGTTTCAGTAAAGAATTTTATTTCCTTGTATTAATAATGGTAAACCATATAGGTGAATTCAAGTTGATGCTCTTTCAATATTTTTGAGGAATCTCAGGAGAACTTTTTTTACTGCAAATGGATTAGACATTAATAATGACATGGGAAATCTATTAAGCCCAGTGCCATAATTTTTTATTTTTTTATTTTGAACATTTTATTATTAGTTGGGTGGGAAAAGAGAAATGTATCAGATATGGTTTTATTTGAATTCATCCTGTAAAATGTTGTATTGTTGGCTGATTTCATTCAGATATTTAATCCCCTAGAAACATGTTGTTGTACCTCTCAGAATTATTCAATGTCAAATTTACGTTATAGGAATAGACAAGTTGTAATTCAAGAAGACTTCATTTTGAACCCAGCCATGAACGAGATTGGATACGACTTTGCCAACAACCAGCGACAGCAGAGGTTGTTCTGGTCCCTACCACCAGACTTCACTGGAAACAAGGTATTTTAGTTTTAAGTGTACCGGTATTCTCTTCGGACATTTTAAATTCCGTTTATGATGTAGCCTATGCAAAAATGATGATATATATAAGTATACATTAGAGTAGCATCATGTAATTTACCAAGTCAAGAATTTGGAAATGATTACTAACCTAAAACAATTTTTTCAGGTTCTTTCCTACGGAGGTAACCTCAACTTCACCCAGAGATATTCCGCACTACCTAGTCATCCTCCGTCATTTGACACAGACGTGATCATCGTGGGTCCGAGTCTGTCCATCTATTGGACTGATGAAGAAGTACTGAGGCCTGATGTAACTAGGGTTAGTATTCATTTTTTTAAGTAGCCAGAGTTTGTTCTAGCACTTGTCAAGGACTTGATTTCAACGATGATATTAACTATTTTTTCTTTCTTAATATTTTTCAAAGAATTTTTATCCTAGTGATACTAGTGAACTATTAGCAAAACATGTAAACCAAAAGGACTGCTTCATGGTTAGTTTTACTGCTCTTTTAATGTTAGTTTAGTCTTTCTACAGCTTATTATCTGTTTGCCATATGAAGTTACTGTCTAGCAAATTCCTATGTGACACATTGGTGTGTGGCTGTTACAGTCTACATCCATCACTCTAAAAGAAAACAAGTGGAGACGTCTAGACCAGACTGTAGGTCAGCGACCTGCCTCTCGTGCAGAGATGATGCGTGTCTTGTCCAACGTTCAAGCCATCCTGATCCGAGCAACGCACAGGTATTGTAATTTTATACTAAATTTTCTACTTAAAAAACTGATATGCTTGGAATACTGTTGGCGATGAATTGATCACAGTTAAGATCCAAAACGGTTGTTGCTTCCTAGGATTAGAATGTATGTTCTTTCCACATTACTAGAAATTGAATGACAATTTATCAATATGGAAGTGTATTGTGATTCAATAGTTGTTGCTCTTATTGGGGTGAAAAATTAATGTTGTTTAGTTCAGTATAAAACCGTAAAAGACAAATAAGTATAGGTATCTCTCCAAAGAATTTTGTTTAGCTGGGAGGATGACTGATATTTTATAATAATGTTTAAAGTTTTAGAAAATAATAATAGTCTTGGTGAGTCAGGTTTAAATTCCAATCAATTACCAATAAAATTAATCCATGTAATAATTTGGTAACCAGCTGTTTAGAGCCCAACTTAAGCTTTGGAACCACCTATGAATTGATCACACATACAGTAAAGTCATGGTATTTAGGTGATTACCGTATTGTTGAATTAATTGGTAAAGAAAGTGGCTGCATTCAAATATATTGTAGAAATCCATCTTGTGGGCAAGCTACAGTTCAACAATTCAATACAGTTTGGTTGATGTATAGTTTGCTCCATAGATGTATTGCTGCAACACATTCGAAACGTCAGCCACTATCTTTCCCAATCTTCTTTCACTATCTTTGCCAATTCAACAACGCAGTCATCTCCTGCAGAGGGATATTCAACGGTCTAGTTTGACTGTAGATGCCTACCTTCAAGGTTGTTCAAATAGAGGCCTCTCAAGGAAGAAACGAATTTATTGGAGTTTTCCCTCCAAATTATTCCTGTTTCCCTTCAAACAAGGACACTGAGGAACACTGAGTTTGTTTGCAGCACACACACACAGCAGAGCTACCTGAGTGATGTCAGTCTAGACACAGCTGTCCCTCAGCGTACTGGAGGTCCAGTGGCTGCGGAGGTGGAGGTCTGCAGATGTCCGCCTGGCTACAGAGGCACAAGTTGTGAGGTGAGCTCTGGTCATTTCATTCAGTTTATTTATATATAATATTGGGCATAATATATCCTTTATTGCAGTGACATCTTCTGTAGTCAAAGTGAAATCTTGAATGTTTTCCTAGGTCATTCCAAAATCAAGAACATCTTCTGCAGTCACAGCAGACTTGTGAACATATGTGTTCACTTCACGGCAACGGGCAACAACATTATCTATCTATCTATATATTAATAGGCAAGCATGTTTCTTTAAAACCTTTTTTCTCAGCTCGTGTGAATCGTAGGGAAAATCTACGCATACCGTTGGAAAGCTATTTTCCTGTAGGTGTGCAGAATCCCTTTATAAATTTAAATAGGCTCAAAGATAAGCACAAAAAATGAGTTTAAAAATTTGAAAAAATTAACATGGATCTTATGCGTTGCCATGCTGGTGACGAAATAACAACAAAATATAAACAGAAAATCAAAACAAATGGAAGAAACTCCAATCACATGTTTTATTTACAGTGTGGGGTGAAAATAGAGAAGTGAGTACATTACATATTTTTGGTCGAGTTTCGACCACTGGACGACCTCTCGTTATCATAAATGTGTGTGATGTTCACGGTTTTGCCAATTTTCAATTTTGAAATGTGGATCTTCGTCGCTTTCTGCGATTGGAAAAATAAAAGATCAGCTTAGTCTGAAGTGACCTGAGTTTGTCCCGAAAATTGTTCCCGGCATAAAACATTCCCTCAAGACCAACTGTCTGACCTGACCAGAAAAAATCGAAGACCTGCAGACACCTACACCTCTTGGATTGCAGGGACTGACCACCTAGATAGCCAAGCATTCCTTCCTTCGCAGATTCTTACAATAAAATATGTATTTGTTATATTTTCAGACCTGCAGCACAGGCTACTATCAAGACTTTGACAACACTTGTAAGAAGTGTCCCTGTAACAACAATGAAGAACATTGCGCCCTCGGTCCACAACAACAGGTCGTCTGCACATGCAGGTCGCCCTACGGTGGAATATACTGCGACAGGATCATCAGTGAGTTACCTGTTGCACATTATAACAGCATGTTATTCCAAACCTATCTGCATTATTGTTGGTTATTCTCTTGCCCTCTTTTGAAAATAATTTGCGTATTGTTAATTTTCAGTTCTAATTTCAAGGATTTATGTTTGAATCCACCTTTTTACAGTTTTATAAAGACTTTTTTTCAGTCTTTTATGAGTTGATTTTTCTTTTACTTACATGTTTATTGTTATGTTCAAACAATTTTAGTTACATACACAAAGGCAATATATAAACAAAGAAACAATTAAAGAATATGCTAATGCTTACCAGCCAGTAGGTGAATGCTGGTATTAACTTTGCACTCAGTAGATAAACTTCCAAAATCTAATTTGTCCTGTTGACACTATAAAGCTGAAGATATAAATTAGAAATCTATACGGTATTTTAATATTGTAAGAATCAGTTTTGGAGGAAACAGAAATATTAGTAGGCCTATTTATTTATACAATTTGATACTTTTAATACTTTTCTGATAAAACATAGCCTAATAATTCTCTAGCTTATTAATTTGCATGGTATTATTTCTTTGCACGTAAAGTAAAAAATCAGTAATTTTCTCCCCTTATGCCTAATGCATGTTTACTCATTGTGCCTGTTTCATATCCAATCTAGACTCAATCATGATGAAGTTGTACCCAGAAAAGGTGACGGCCTCTGTCGGCGACTACGTCACTTTCATCTGCTCGTACAAAAGTAGCGAGAAGTTGAGAATAGAGTTTGATGAAACGTTCGATCCCTCGGTTTATCCGATGAATTTGATGAGTGGAGACCTAGAAACCTCTAGGATAGCTCACGACTGGGGTCTAGAAGAACAGCTGGTTACTCAGATTAGACCTAACCTCAAAATGATTTCTTGTCGAGTGCGAAGTGAAAATGGAAGAGTCCTCGGATCTTTGTCTTCCATGATCGACATCGCCTCAAGCAAGTAACGATGTTCACTTTCGGGTGCTTCGGTACTGTCAAGTTTCACGATTCCTCAACGGTTCATGCATTACTGATGATGTTTTTGCCATTCATGAATTTCATTATTTGTTGAAAGTTGTGCTGTATACTTGCATTGGTTTTGTTTTTCAAAGCTTTTACATAGTACTATTTATGGTTTGGTGTTGCATATAAATAATATTAATTAAATCTGTTTCATAATCAAGTCAAATTAAATTATTTTTCAAAACATAAAACATAACTCATGTTAAGAGACAGTTTACAGCATTTGATCATCAGTAATGACTTCAATTCTGTGTTGTGTTTGTGTATATATTCTTTTCAAACATGGTATTTATTTATGTTGGTGCTCTTCATCTGTTGAAAAATATCATATTTTGTCTCTGTTATCTACTCACAAAACTCTCCTATAATTAGTCTAGGAACAATAATAATAGTAGAATAGTGAAAGAACAGGGCATTGATTTTTTAAATCACTGTTAGGCCAGGATTTTTAAAATCATCAGTCAATTGATTGTGTTGTCACATCATTAAGCTTATTTTTGTTAATAAGCTCTTGAATCGTCCACCTTTTATTAACTCTTCTGTCTCCTGTGATTTATCTTGGTTTTATTTCTTACTCTCTTTCATCTCCCAAATTGTTTATTTCTTTCTTTTGCTTTACCATCTTTTGCTACACTCTTCACTTGCTTCTTTTAACCTGCATACTTGCAGTATTGCACTTCAAGTTGTTAAAAAGTTTTTTACAGTTTTTAGACTTGTGTGTGTTTGGTTTGAAAGTTGAAAAATCTAAGTAATTTAATTGGCTACTTTTGTTTTTCCAATATTTGATTACACTTGCTTTGTTTTTGGGTGTAGATTTCTTCATGGTTGGTATTTTTATCACTAAACACTAAATAAATAAAACTAGTGCACCTGTTGCTTGAATTCGAGCAATTGCAAAGTAGCTATTCCAGATGTTATTTCAAAACAAATAACAGTCATAATTCCCGATGACTTAAAAGAGTCAACTCAAAGATAATGTAATAAATCACTCCACTCCAGTTATCGAAAATGAAAATGAACTCACTCTGAAAACAAACGCTCTTATGTGTATCATGCATTTTTTATAAACAGCTGTTTTAGTAGGCTATGAATACAAATTATTCGTCTGTTTAAGTAAACAAAATCTTTTCTTCATAAGAAATACATTGGGATTTTGATGGCCTGTGGGGCAAAGCCGCCCGAGGACTTTTATTACAGGAATTGGTGAAAGGGGGCGTCTACACAACAAATAATTAATTTTGACACCTCGTTTGTAAAAATCTCTCAATTATTAACGGAGGAGTAGTGTTTCGTATAAATCGCTTTCACGTTATAAGGATCCTTTACATATCAAAATTATTTGGTTAACTTTATTTTTTTTTTAGGTTTCTTATAACATTGTTTGTTTGAACGTTTAAATGTTCTATAGAATAAAATCACCTGCCTCAGTATTAATGATTATGAATGAATACATTTAAAAGTTGTAAAAGTTTATAAACCTAAGTAATTTCCAATGACAACAAAATAAACCATATGTATTGAGTTGTTAAAAGCTAGTATAGCTTATATTAGAGTGGATCTAGTGCTCGCCTAGTGTTTAGATGATCACCAGTTCAATTCTGAAAACTTTCTTCGATTTTAGTCTCAAAAACTACCAACCCATGTGCTAAAAGATTTGCACCTGGCAAAATAAAAAAATCAACACTTTACCATCTTCCATCTCATCTTTTATTATGCTGTAATTCTTTACATGTAATATCTGTGTGAGCTTTAATATCTATCACTCATTGTGCTAGTAGAGTTGAAACTAGCTTGTTCATACCCTTCATTTGTTATAGTAGTTAGAAGTTCTGTTTGAGTTTCGTTTAGGCTGCGGCCACACAAGCGTTTTTTCACGAACAAACTCAGCGTGAAAACACGCAAAAATATGAGCAGCATTAAATGTAATGGGGAGTGCCACACGCAGTGTGTTTTCCCGCAGTAGGGGGCGCCTATTTGTTTCAATGCTAATCTAATTTCTCGCATGTTTTCACGCTGCATGAAAAAAACGCCCGTGTGGCCGCAGCCTTAGTATTTCAAGTAGTTTTTTATTTACTTTTCCTATGGTTGTGCTTTTAAATAGAACCTCTGCATATTTTATGACTTTTTATCATCTATGCATTTTCTTAATAAAAAATAAATAAAAAAATGAAATTTTATATTTTTTCAATACATTTTATAGACAAATTACAATTTATATATTTCCATAGTAAATACGTTTTTTGATTCACAAATACAGTTCAGGGATAAATGATTTCATTTCAACTGTTATTTGTTCGGCAGTCTCCTTATGGTTTACTTTCAACTAAAATGCACAAAGCACCTAACAAAATTTGTTATAGCTCAGCTAATTCTTAAATCCAAGATCTTCTCAGTATGTATCATTACTGTTTGCAATGCACGTTGAGATGGTTTTAATCCAAGTATGTGTGATAGGTGGTGGTTCCCCGAGACCAACCCCAGAACAACCGAGGATCTCCATCAGTGTCATAGAACCTACAGTGATTGTCATCGAGGCCGGAAACGACGTCAAATTCCGCTGTGCTGGCAGATCCCTTGTGTCCTCAGTAAGTCTACCAATATTTGCGATAGTAAATACACTTAATGTAAATTCAGGGAAATTCCATTTTTGGATAAAAATGTTATCTGAATGCAATATTTAATATTTCTTATAATTAGTGTTACATATTGTTTTCACCTTTCCGAAATATCTGTTCCCATGTGGATTTAGTAATATTAAACATTGAGTATAAGTTTTGTATTAAAAACCGAATTTCCATTTTTTTCATTATGAAATTTCTGACTTTCTTAAAAAAGAGAACTTTTCATCATTCAAAGTTGGTCAGGAATAGGTGCAATCTCATTGAAAAGTGTAATCTGTAAATTCATATATACCAAATTACATTTTACCAAAACCATCTTGTTTTCCTCATTCTTCCACTAGTTTAATACTCTTTGTGAAAAAAGATAATGCATATACGTCCGAAAACAAAAGTATGAGTTTAAGAAGTTACCTTGTGTTCAATGGATTTTACAGTGTCAGTTTACCTCATAGTCTCCACTATTAGTTTCTTTTGTGATGACAATAGCTGAAAAATGTCTTTGCCATTTACTTTTGCCTCTTACTCCTGCAATTAAGACCCAAGAACGGAAGCCCCCACGAATATTTGTCTTATATCCGTGTCTTCTGCTTCTTTAAATATTATTGGTTCAGGATTTTATCAATAATTGGCTTATTTTTCACTCCTAGAGATAGCACAATTAATTTTTTTTCTTTATAGACCTAGCTACATGCATGTCTGCTACAATAATATTTTAAAGACATTTTACATGAATTTACAATTTTAAAACTTTCAGCATTTTAATGCAAGTATCTAAATCCCCAGGAGCCTGTGGTGTTGTCGTGGAGCAAAGAGAACGGATATTTACCACAAGGACGAGCTTATGATGACAAGAAGGGTCTGTTACTGATCAAGTCGGTCCAGGCTTCTGACTCTGGAACTTACCTCTGTACGGCTTTTGATGGGTTCAAGTATGTCAGCGAAAGAGCAGTTCTCAATGTTGGAGGTAAACTTTTGGAGTAGAATTTGTCATTTAATTTGAAACACTAGTCCCTCTCATTTTATTATTGTAAAATCTGAAACTTGGTGTAACACGTTTTTCATGTCCAATTACTGTTAAATAATAACTTTTTGGAAAGGGATAGAGCATAGCTACCTTCAATGTAAATATTATGTCCAGTGTCTCAGTCTCTAAGTCTCTTTGTTAAACAGATGGGAGATAATTAAATCTCTTAGGTTTGCACAAATAAACACTTCACCAAGAACCTATTGCTATTTCAGAATGATTCTGTAAATTTAAATTTTAAACTGTGAGTGTAAATAGATGTTTATTGACTAATGTTAATAAAATTTTACCTTTATTGCTTTCCTGAAGGAGATCATTTTAAGGAGTTGGTTGTTCGCAAAGGTTGGTGACATTTGTTTATCGTAATTCTTTTCAGTTTGGTTCATTTAAGAATTTTATTTTATTGTTAAATAGTAGAACATGGTAAAATATTCAAAAATTTTTAACATGTATGACTATGAACAAATTAAACTTTAGGAAAATTGTTTACATCCAATTCGTTGTCATTGGCTTATTGTTATCAGCTATGGAGGGAAAGTATGAACAAAAAGTTGAAGAACAACGTTGATGTATGAAAGAAATTTGTTGTATAGGATACTTAACTCTGTTATCATTTATTTCTTTTGAGGCAGCATCGCCACCTAGGTGTGTATTTTAATCTGAATATAAGTGGAAGAACAACGTCAGAACAATCCTAAAATATCGGTGGGCATAAATCTCAAATTGAATGACAGATGCCGGTGGAGCGACTGACGGACCTGGGTCGGAACTGCGCCGGATGAGTGTAGTTAGCACAACGGGAAACCTATTTAAAAAATACATTTCTGACTGTAAAGCAGCTGATGTGGAACTGATGAGTGTAAATCAACCTTAAGCAATGGTATTGCAAACTTGGTCACTTAACACTAGTGTGTCTTGCATTCTACTACCATAACAATTGTCTTTATGTAGGTTCGCAGCCAGTACGCCCCGTGGTGACTGTGTCCCCCTCAGTGCTGGATGTAAGGGAAGGTGAGCCAGTAGAGTTCCGTTGTGACGCTACAGGAGTGCCAGCCCCAACACTGCAGTGGGTCGGAGATCGCTCTAGCAGGCTGCCACCTCAGGTAGATGAAAAACTATTTAAAAACATTTGATTTGAATTAACAACGTTGTGTTCAAAGTTTTAAGAGAATGTTAGCCATGTTGTTTATCCGTTTTTCTTCACCCTCCAGTTTTTGTCTTCTGAATGTGGTGATAAGTCCTTGTATCTGACGAAAGCTTCTCCTCTTCACTTACAGTAGAGTTTTCCCTATCAGAAATTCCTCTTTTATGTTATCTCGCTTCTTTCAATTCTCCATTTTCTGCAATTTTCTATTTTTGCCACTCTTTCTACAGTATTTTTTTTTACATGACCAAACCAAACATTTCTCGTTATTCAGATTTTTTAATATTATTCTGTCACATTCAAAATGTTGTCTAATACCAGTGCTTCTGATCGAAACTTGACTTTTTTTTGTACTTATGTCAACAAGATATAATTTTGAAGCTTTGTTGTTTTAATTTAATTCAAACTCTTTACTATGGATTACATTTCCTAAAAGGTTTGTATGCTGTAATTTCTCTTTTGACGCCATGTTTCAATCTGGATTTATTTTAGCTACTAAATGCTTTTACTGTTCCTTATTTTGTCATTAGTTACCAATTGTTACAGTAAAGCTTGTTATTGCCAATGCTTTAAAACTTGCAAAAACTAATACCGTAACTCAGTAGCATTCAAGGGTAGCTCAATTTTATTTGCTACATCAAATTATTCTAATGATGACTTTTCACGAAGATATTGTTTAGTCTCACTAAACTTTGTATTCCCATTTCATATGGTATTTTATTCTCATGTAGCAGTTATCTAATAAATTATCAAACAATGGTGATATTTTTAACATTGTTTGTTTTCTCCAGTCATCATTCGCCAGTGGCGTGTTCCGCATTCCATATGCCTCCCTGCAAGACGAAGGCACTTACACCTGTACGGCTATCAACTCTGAAGGAGATGACTCTGAAACTGTGTCTTTGTATGTGAGAAGTAAGTAAAAATAATTCAAAGCTTTTGGCAGTTAAGAATTTATTTTTAAACGAATAAAGTAGAGCGAAGCAAGATTGATAAAAGAGAGTCCAGAGGATAATGGACACAAAAAAGGCAAAAATACATAAAACTGGTATTTTGTTCTAGCTTATCTTCTCTCTGAAAAAGCCCTAAGGACGAATATCAGTGTTGTTTTGTGGCCTTTTTATTATGTACCTATCTGTTAGCAATGAACTCAAATTTTTCATTTAAGCTAGTTGAACTCTATCCCTTTGAAAAATTGTAATCAGCCACATTTCTTTTTTTTAACAAAATAATATTTTTGCTGATCATGTAAGTTTACATTAGAGAAGTTATAATTAATTTGTGTTTACCAACCAAACCAAGTAATATCAATAGAAATGTTCATTTTCAAATTTACAATCTGTTGGTTACCAAAAACAGGTGTATACGCCATTATCAGTGTTAATTGGTGATTCAAAGGTTATAATAACATCATTAAACTATTTAAAAAAAAAAATGTTATAAAGATTCACCAATTATTGATCTTAATTAAGGTTTATAGTTACTATATTTATAGAAATAGAAATGCACCATTGCTTGCATTCTTGTAAAGCAAATCACTTTAGTTAACATTTGTTTATAAACGTTTTTAATTGCCTCATAATTACTTTTTGTAGGTGCTCCCCCCACTCTTCCACCGATGCCAGAAGTCCGTTTGAGTATTCAGCCTAGTGACTACAGTGGGTCAACCGGGGAAACAGTGCGGCTGGAATGTACTGCTTCCAACCCTCGCAACATACGGTAATTTCAAATTTTTTTATGTTTTATTGTGTCACGGGATTGACAAATTTATAAACTCACATTATTAAAGAAAACCACTGTCAATGATGTAACAGTTTCCACTACGATTCGTTTTCACTAAGAATCTCACAGTCCCCAACAATTAAAATAAAAAAACTAAAAGCTGAAAAATATTAGCTGAATAAAAAAGTGGATTGCTTTAGTATGTATAGCCTGAACGTTACGGTATATCTTTAATCTGAAGACAAGTTGTTATGATTTTAATTTTTAATTCTGGACTGAGTTGTCTTTTTTGAAGTTCTTCCAATTAGTAATACTGGCTAGAGAAAAGTAAAAATAAAAATTATATTGAGTAGGTTCCGTGTGTAAAAAAAAATATGTTTCGCGAAGAGAAAAATTTAAAAAAATGTAAAGTAAGAAATTGTTGTGCTTTAGCTAAGCCCATGTATTTAATAAGTGTGATTATTGGATCTGTTTACCTTGTAATATTACTAACACAATAAATTCTTAATTAAAAAAAAAATACATTTCTAAGAGCTAGAGTACAAGTAGATGTGTGTTGGTAACTAAATCTAATAACATAATTTTCACAATGTACCTAAGAAAATTTTTTTTATTAAAAATAAAATAGTTTTTTTTTTGTTAAAGTTTAAATTGTGACAAATATCACACGACTCTTGGTTACACTAGTTTTACAATTCACATTTGCTCGTAGGCTACAGTGGTCCAGGCAGGATGGAGAGTTGTCGGCCAACGCCAGAGACGCTGACGGCATCTTCACCATCTACAATCCTCAGCCGAGTGACAGCGGAATCTACATTTGTGCCGCAGTGGACAGATCTACCGGCACTCCACTGCGCGAGACCAGAGCCAGAGTCAACATCAACCAGCCTCAGAGGTCAGTGTAATATTGTTAAAAAATGTTCTCTTTCTTCTCAGTTAATAAACTCTGTTATAGGCGTAATGATCTATTTCATGCTAAACGTGTGTGACTTGTTCACTTTGTTTTTAATGCTGAAGTAGACATTCCATACATTAGTCAATGATGCTGTGGTATTGTGTAAATATTGTATACATTATAGCATAGGTTAAACATACTCCCTCGGTAGATATTTCATTCTCATGGATCAGCTGAAGATTGTATTGTTAGTTCCGTCCATTGTTGCTGGAACGGTATTTTTGTTTACAAGTTGATTTTTGTTAATTCAGTTACTTAAAACCTGGTTTAACCAAATAAAACAATTCAATCCTAAATAATTACTTGTCTTCTAGTTATATTAGCAAACAGTAAAGTACAAATCATTAAGTTTATCAACCTTTTGATAATAGAAACAAAATGTTGTCAACACTAACGCCCAGTGTCACCAATGTGAAATAGAGAAGAAAATCCAGCTTCAACCTTTACAATAGGATGAGAGAGCCACTTGAGATGGTTAGTCTATGATCATAGTGACGTGAGGAAACAATCAAATTTACTGCTCAGTATTGCATAATGTTACTCTTGAAGTTTGTCAAAAAATTGTTAAATTAAGTCCCCTGATTTGTTTAAAAATGCTATTCACACCCTTATATTTATACAGGGTGGGGCAGGGAAGTATCCCTAATTTTAAAGGTAAATTAAAAGACAACCAAAAATGTTAGAGCCAAACTTTTTATTGAGATTAAAAGGTTACATCTGGGAGTTTATTTTAATATAACTTTACTTGGTTTTAAACAGCATATCCTGCAAGTTGTGTCCCTAATCTTAAATGCATTACTGCATTCTGGTTCTGGAGTTCATTATAACTTTGTGAAGCTTTTGTTGTGGAAAGAGGCAACATTCTAGGTGAATTGCATCCTTCAAGGCATCTAGGGTCTTCCCTTGAACTACCCTAGGCTTAGCATCACTCCAATAGAGCACATTCTGCTTATTTACCCGCTCCAGGAATATGGAAGTGTGCCTCGTCACTAAACAAAACCCGAGCAGCATGAGGTAGTCCCGCAATTAAGATTATTTCACATGCCTGCATTCGTTGTTGCCAGTCCCTTTGTGTGAGTTCATGAGCAACTACCCTCTTGTATAGATGGAGGTGTAACATGTGTCCTCATGGAGAATACGAGGCACAGTACGATTAGACAACGCCAGCGCGGATGCATGCTTACAAGGAGAACTTGAGGAGAATGCAAAATCGATCTTCTGACAAGGTCAATGTTTTCAGGACTCCGGACAGTTCTTTGAGCTCCAAATATCCTTCGCAATACACCACCACATACACGAAAGTAATTCACCCACACCAAATTGTAATAGCTTTGCGACAGGCCACCCGATAACCCGACAGCCAATGGTAGCTGCACAGCAACAATAGACAGATTTTTGAAAAAAATACATCTCGAGTGCAAAAGCACATTGGTCACTCGAACAAGCCATATCTACTACTGATAGTGATATTTTTAGAAATTCCCAAAACAAAAGCTTCATTTGAGCCTAACCCCATTCCTCCAGCACACCCCCACTACTCACAGTACCATCTTAAAAGTAGGGATATTTCCCTGCCCCACCCTGTATCCTTCAATCTAGTGCTAAAGTCTAGTAATTACTTTACAATCTACTTTGTATTCTACAGGCCGCAGCCTACAATCAGTATCAGCCCTCCCAGACAGACAGTTTCGCAAGGGTCAGTAGCGGAACTGAGGTGTGTGGCCAGTGGACCCATACAATGGTCAAAGGCTGGAGACACAATGCCTCCTAATGCTAAGGTGAGTGATGTTTGGTTGTATTGACATTATTTCTTTATTAGCATCGAACAAGGTTTGAAAATTTAAAATTCATGTAGTCAGCTGATGAGTGTTAAGTGATAGCATTGACTATTGGATACAGAAGTCTATAAATAGTCAAAGGTGATAGCCAGAGTTTCCTATTGGAATTGTCTATAGTAAAAACTAAAAACTTTAACCTTACTGCAGACTACTGATATATGTGTTGATCAAAGGACAGGGAAAAAGAATTAAGTGTAGAGCTACAGGATCAAAATAATCGTTAAAAATCCTAAGGATGCTGGTTTGATCCTGATCAATGGCTTTCTCTTGACGGGCTTTTCAAATATGTATGCTTTCCAAAAACAGAATGCCATTAGATTGGACAATGACAATAAGATTAGGACCGTTCTCTTGTAAAAATGTAAAAATTGTGACTACTACCAGGCACATAATCATGAAAAATTTTCCTATTAGATTCTGAAACCATTTATTTGATTAAAATACACTTACTATTATTGTTTACAGTGTCTTAACAGATGTTTTGTTCAAAATCAGCCTATATTTGGATTATTTTACCTTTTGATTTCGTCTAGTATGTTTATGAATTCATTTTTAACCTCTTCGTTCACAAGTTTTATTGTCAAAACTGAATTTATCTTATGCACGACAGAGCAAAAACCTAGGTCTACCAATAAGTTAAATAACAAAAGGTAACTTTTTGGTTCCATTGAGAAATCTCTAATGTCGTTGACAATATACCTAATCTGGTAAATATGATTACCAGTTATTTTATTCGGTATTGTAATGTTTCCTCCATCACAAAGTGTTTTAAATTTCTCACTGATTAATGGGTAGTGTTTAGATTTTAATGTTTGTTTGATTACGTTTATGTTTATGTTCTGTTTTTTAACCCAATAGTTACTAAATTGATTTGATTCCAAGTACTTAAGAACTGAATAAATGTTAAATATCTCTTGACTACTATTTGCAATTTTATATCCACCATACCAATTTTTAATCTCACTGAGTCTATTTGTAATCCCAAATCTCCTTGCTAATATTAACAGTTCACTTTCTTGAAGACCGTAAAACTCATTAAAAACATGTTTGCTTGTGAAAGATAAATGTTTTATTTCTGAGTCAAAATGACCGAACGCATACACTGGTGGTATTGAAGCATTTATAAGGGTAACTTCTATCAGATCTGATTCTGAGTCCCAATAATCTACAAGTACTTGAATCATTTCCTCAAGATGTTCTCCTATCTTCTCTGGAACCCAGTGCCAACGTGATTTCCTCTCAAACATTATATCTTGTGTAGGAGAATCGTAGTTATCTACCAACAAGATAACTTTCTTCTCAAAATGTTTCACCAAGAGTTTTGCCAAATTTCTCAATCTCTCTTGATGCCATAATGGATGGTCGAGCAAGTAAGACATGTTCGGTAGAAATTTATAGTTGTGTTCAAAAGCTAATTTATCTTTCTCACTCAGTCGTTCACTTTTTAACAAGTATTTGTGGTTAGAAAATAATTGTTTGATTAACTCAATCAATCTTTTCGTAAAGTGAAACCCTTCTTCCCCAACAAGTCTTTTAAAGTCTAAATATATCGTAGGATACTGTCCAAAATGATCTTGAACAAACTTCTTCCTCTTAAATATATTCAAGAAATCAAAACCTTCAGTTTTGTTGTATGGCTTTGAAAATATCTTGTAATTATCTGTCAATATAGGAGTGATGGTACTTCCATTTTGGTAAACTTGAACTTCAAAAAACCTTTTGATCATATCGAGGTTTGTTGTCTTTCCAAATTGGTTCGGAGTTTTCACAACAATGTGGGGTCTAGACTGGTTAAACAACACTTCAATCATCATTGTTTTGTCTAGGAATGCATCAGAGCTCAATACTTCTTCAAATTTACTGTGTTCTGATATAACTTTGGCCTAAAAGAACAAATTTTAAGAAAATTATGTGGATTTGGATTTGAGTCAATCCTTACCTATTGTATAATGGGTTTTTTTTTCCTTAAGTTATCTTTAGTAACCATAATTTTCTAGTGTTTTGTGAAGATTTTATTTTCATAAAAAACAATTGTTAAACAGTTTTTTTTTTATAATACCCAGTATTAAAAAAATTGAAACAACAACTGCGACTTAGCCATTAGCTACTTTCTGTCTATATTATGCACTCTTAACCTGTCTAATTTTTTTTTTATAAAGAAATTATTTATTTGGATAGATTATAATGAATATTTTATACAGCATATAGTTATGGTTGTCAAATTTCTTAAAACAAAAACATTTGTATTAATTGTAACTGTTTAAAGTTATAATAAATAAAATAGCTACTTACACTACAAAACCTGATGAATCAATACACTAAAAGTTCCTATTTATTTACAAATGTAATCAACTACTCACAGAACTCATCACAGCGAAGAGATGAATAAAATTAAACCGTGTCAACATTGACATCCACATTAAAAACAAGATGTTTTATTGTTTTGTTAATCACTGTTTATCAAGATGTTAATCTATGAAATTGAAATCTGTTGGGTATGATTGTTGTTCTTGCAGCTAAAAAGTACTCATTCACATTTTGAGGTTGAAATAAAACAATAAAAAGAACGTAGAACCCTACTCTCTACAAAATCTCTCCTCTTTTGTCTGTAATGAGTAGCTAGAACTGAATCAATAAAAATTTGAAGTATCTACACTAAACCATTCCAGTCCAAAAGTTACCTAATTAATTAACATTTTGTATACAGCCCATACTAGTCTCTTAATTTTTAGTCTAATTACTTGCTAATGCCCAAGATAATTTTTCTCCTTTGACGTCCTGCTCCTATTTTACTCCACCATCCAGTGTCCTTAGGTATCTTTCCTAACTACTAGTCTGCTACCTTAGCCTTGGTTACTACCACCCTAAGTTATTGGGGTGTATTCATGGTTAAAGAGAAAAGATTGACTAAAAAAGATTCTTACAGTGGAACACCTGAAACAATTCCTATCTAATAACGGTCTAATACGGATGCTATTCGCTAACCAAGATTTCACTAAAAATTATTTAACGTTGCTCAATTAAAATGTTACATGCTCTTTATATAGTTATCGGTTTTGTTTGCAGATTGACGGAATGATTCTGCGTATAGAGAACGTCCAAGTTAGAGACCGAGGAGTGTACGTGTGCCAAGTTGATGGACCTGGAGGACTCAACAGAATAACCAGCATTCTGGAAGTGGAACGTAAGTATATACCTAGATTTTTAACACTTTGAGCTCGAATGTCCGAAATATCGGATGCAAGATAACCAAACTTCCACTTACGACTATCGATGTGATTATATCAGCTTTGTCACACCAACATTGTTGGTGATGGTGAGTTTTTGCTAAAGAATAATAGGAGGTATTTTACATAACAATTAGTAATAAATAAACAAAGTTTTTACTATAATTCATGATTTTAAAGTTTTTACCTTGTTTCAGAATATAGAATCTGATCCGGTACTCATGTAGTCAAGTCCAATAGATGTACTTGTTATGTAACAAGATTGTAATCCTACGTTTTTTGTTTGTTTTTTTTCAGGCCGAGAGATTCCAGAGATTGAGTTGTACCCAAGGGCGTCCCAGACTGTCAACGAGGGCGGAAGCGCTTTGTTCCAGTGTCGGGTCACTAAGGGAATTCCGGAACCGACGCTTCACTGGAGCAGAGTGGACGGGACTCCACTGTCTCGCCAGGTGGAACAGCTTCCAGGCGGAGTACTGCGGTGAGAGTGATCAAATAATCACTGTCCTTACACTAAAGCATGTCCATTTCCATTAATGTAGTTTTTAATTAATTGACTATAATTATGGTACAATACCTCGTCAAGTAATCCAAATGTCGATTGTCAGGTTAACAACCTACATGTTGCGCTGTAAATGCGGCATCGTCAGGGTTACAAAACATGATAAGATATCGATGTCACACGCACACAATAAATAGACGAACATGAACATTTAATTAACATTGATAGTAGAACCTACTACCTGCGCCGGGACCGTCCGTGTCGTGTGCGTGTGATAGGCCTATCAATGTTAATGAAATGTTCGTGTTCGTGTATTTATTGTGTGCGTGTGACATCGATGTCTTATCATGTTTTGTAACCCTGAGGATGCCGCATTTACGGCGTAACCTGACAATCGACATTTGGATTACTTGACGAGGTATTGTACCATAATTATAGTCATAGATAGTAATCCAGGGGCCATCAACATGGAATTTAATTAATTTGTGTGTATCTACACCACAAACATTTCTTAATGTTTTTACTAGTAAAGGTCCAAACCTTGGCCTTGTTACTATTTTATTATGTTCTACCGTCACATCCTATGATGCTGAGCTGGAGTCCAGAATTTTTTTACATATTACTTCAGGCTAGGCCTAGAGGGCTGTGGTATTATCACAGCAAAATTCATTGGTGATTAGTAGGATTCAAACCCAGAACTTCAAATACCAAAGCCCTGCACTCTAGACCAGCTTGTTCCCCAGTCTTATCTCTATCTAATGCTAATGTTGTGTACATGATGTTCTCAATGGTGCAAATGTCGAATTACTCTTTAAAACATTTCTGGATCTCATAAATAAAATCAAAGTTTGATGCAAAGCCCCAGAATTAAATGCCATATTGAAGAATTGAATAGAAGTATGCACTATACAGGGTGGCTGAAAAGTAACTTACACCCCCCCCTTAACCTTTCAACCATTTGAGATATTTTAAATCGGTTTGCAGCAACCTTCTTAGATATGAGGGGCTACAATAATTATGGTCAGTTTTGAAAATTTTGCCCTTAGGGGTAGCGGGGGTAGGGGGTAGCTCAAAATTTTTAAATGACAAGTATAGTCGAGTTTGGTATCATTTTACAGGTCTTGACGAAACATAAACATTGACATAAAGAAAACCAAAATCGGTCCACTAATAACAAAATGGCGCCCAAAAACGTTTCAAATCGAAATAACCATAAGGGTGGCAAAAAATTAACTTGCACCCTCTTTAACTTTTTGACTATTTGAGATATTTGAAATCGGTTTGCGGCAACTTGTTTGGATATAAAGGGCTACAATAATTATGGTCAGTTTTGAAAATTTTGCCCTTAGAGGTATCACGGGTAGGGGGTAGCTCAAAATGTTCAAATAGCAAGTATAGTCGAGTTTGGTATCATTTTGTAGGTCTTGACGAAACATAACAATTAACATAAAGAAAATAGAAATCGGACAATTAATAACAAAGTTTTGAAAATTTTGCCCTTAGGGGTATCGGGGGTAGGGGGTAGCTCAAAATGTTCAAATAGCAAGTATAGTCGAGTTTGGTATCATTTTTTAGGTCTTGACGAAACATAACAATTAACATAAAGAAAATAGAAATCGGACAATTAATAACAAATGGCAGTTCAAAATTACTTTAAATAACCATTGTCTCAATCATTTTTAGCTGCCATTTTGTTATTAATGCTCCGATTTTTATTTTCTTTATGTTAATTGTTATGTTTTGTCAAGACCTACAAAATGATACCAAACTCGACTATACTTGCTATTTGAACATTTTGAGCTACCCCTACCCCCGATACCCCTAAGGGAAAAATTTTCAAAATTGACCATAATTATTGTAGCCCTTCATATCCAAACAAGTTGCCGCAAACCAATTTCAAATATCTAAAATAGTTAAAAAGTTAAAGAGGGTGCAAGTTAATTTTTTTCCCACCCTCATGGTTATTTGGATTTGAAACGTTTTAGGGCGCCATTTTGTTATTAGTGGACCGATTTTGGTTTTCTTTATGTCAATGTTTATGTTTCGTTAAGACCTGTCAAATGATACCAAACTCGACTATACTTGTCATTTAAAAATTTTGAGCTACCCCCTACCCCCGCTACCCCTAAGGGCAAAGTTTTCAAAATTGACCATAATTATTGTAGCCCCTCATATCTAAGAAGGTTGCCGCAAACCGATTTAAAATATCTCAAATGGTTGAAAAGTTAAGGGGGGGTGCAAGTTACTTTTCAGCCACCCTGTATAACATCAAACAAGTTTTTAAGTCAATTGAGTTTCATAAACATAAAATAATTTGGTAAAATGCCGAATTCCATCTACTAATTATATTTTCAGTGCTTTTGTTCCAATTTAAATTTGAATCTACATACAAACCGAGAAATTTTGCATCATCATGAACAGCTTAATTTAGGTATTCAAACTCTCTTGCCTGAGCAGTACAAAACTTTACCAATTGGGTTTTATCTTGATTCATTTTTAGACTCTTAATGTTGAACCTGATAGGGCTCAACATAACATAACATGATAGGGGGGGGGGTCCGATAGGGCTTGTTTAAGTTTCAGCTATAATTCTGAATCATTTGATTTGACAACTGCAGTTGTATCGTCGGCATATAAGGTTGTTAGAGACATTTTTAGACAAGTCATTTATTTACAAAATAAAGAGTACAGGTCCAAGAATAGAGCATATGAATAGAATTATGAAATGAGGATGCCACCTAGTTGCATATTTAAACCCGAATATGAGTGAAGGATGAGTGTAGAATGTTGTGAAAAAGGCTTTTGCTTGATTTGTTAGCATTCCAAAGACAATAACCAACTGGACATGTGTTGTAGGTTCAACTCTGCCACAAGAGCAGATGAAGGCCAGTACCTGTGTACAGCGGACAACCCCGAGGGTAGTGCTACGACCGTAGCCGAGCTGGTCGTCCACTCTATGCCTTTGATCACCATCACCCCGCCGGGTCAGAGTGTGAAGGTGTCGCCAGGTCAACGGTTCAGACTAGACTGTCGGGCCTACGGTCACCCAGCACCCACCGTCGTCTGGTCCAAACACCAACCGGGTCTACAGTTCTAGTCAGTATTGCTTGTAGACCTTGAGTTTCATTAGTCATACATAACTAGGGGAATTTTAATCTTTCTGTTGAGTTGTTAAATTTGTTTGAATATTTATTTGACTCAATATAAGAAAAAATTTGAATTATCAAAGTTTCTTATTCTTATATTGTAACCTTATCTTGGATTTTTTAAATGGTTTACTTCTGCATTGTGGATATGAACCTAATAAACTATGTGAATTATTGAGCAGATTTTTTAATTAAATTTTTTTATTGTCACTCCAACGATTATATTTTGTAAATATGTTAAACTGAAGGAAAATTGTCTCCAATTTTATTTATCAAATCTTAGCCAATACAAAACCATTTTTTTTATCAAATCTTAGCCAATACAAAACATTTATTTTTATTGTCAGGTATCTAATTAAAAAAATAATCCCAAGCGTACTAAATACAAAAGTATATCTAGAATGAATGTTTAAACTTGATAAAATTGTGTAACTAACCAACAGCTGTATGTATTCATGAATTTCAGTGAGCCCAAGTCTATTACACCGGAAACGGCTCAGGGAGCAGTGTACGAGATCAAGGGAGCTACACAGGATGATGAGGGAAGTTACACGTGTACTGCTCGCAATGCCGCTGGAGAGGTAGAGGAGAGGATACATCTCATTGTGAGCGATGAGCAGACGACGAGCGGACCAAGCCGAGGCGACATCCCAAGCACAGGCAGCAGCGGAGTGTACATCCCTGACGACGACTTTACTGTTCCCCTCGGCGGACATGTGACCGCCCGCTGTATAGCACAGGGTAAGGTCTTCATCGTTGGCTTCATTGTTACGTTTATATCATTATAATATCAGTATTAGTATGGTTGTGTAAAAATCCGGTTCGGAAGGACCAAAAATGTCCACGTATACTCAGTAGACCAGTGGGAAACAAGACTGAGCTTTAACCCTCGTACAAATGTTATGTAGTTAAGAGTCGGTGCTATTGTAAAGTGTACAGTATTGTAAATAGGTGTGTTGTAAATAGTTTTGATTGTAATATAAGTTGTGTAATTTTTTGTAATATCTGCTCAGTAAGTGTATATACATTTGTAACGGTGGCATTCGAACATGGTAACTTGTATGTAGTTTGTATACTTAAAATGTATTATCAGTATTAATGAATATTTTCAAAATGGTGAACGCTTTATACTCCTGTAATCTAGTGTTTGAATGCAGTGCAATGTATTTCTCAAAACAATAGTGTCGAAACCTAATGGAACGTTTTGTAAGTTTGAGTGACGCAATATTTTTAGTCTATTACTTTTTAAACATGACTGAAACGTGATTAGTTTTCATTTCCTAAATACTATGAGATGTTTTCACCAAAATATAGAGCTTTAATGTAAATGATTTGACAAGCTTCGTGTGAATCGTCTTTCCTGATAATGTACCTCCCAAAAAGCAATAATGTCGTTGTTTGTTTTAAATATTTATTGCTTTGTTACACATAGTATACATTTTGCTATTCTTAGTGTTGGCTAAAAATTTAAAACATATCAACTAGGATAATCTATTGTATATAATCAGTAGTTGTATCAAAGAACTAAAGCAAATATATATAAAAACTAGAGCTTACAAACTAACCTTTCGCTTGGGCTTTGGATGGTAAACAAAGTCGTATGAGTTACTTGGGTTTTACACTTTCCATTCTCAAAACAAATATTTTCATTGGCAATAAGAATATATTGATATTGCGTTTTAGGTGCATTAAGCTAGACACTTTTTAAACTTTGAAAAATACTTAGGCATTTAAATTTTGAACATCGCTTTGATTTGACAAATTATATTTGTAAAAAAAAACTAGTTCACGTTCTTTGGTAAAATAGTAGTAAAACTTTGTCATTTGTTTACCTTCAAAGCTCAGGAAATTCAATAGGTTTTAGTTGCAATTATTTAATGTCTGTGGTTGAATTAGGTATAAAAACCGTAAATGGACATGTTTCACAGTTTACCATTTAAGTCTTGTTAGAAGGACACAAAATTATTTTTTTAGAACGTTAATTAAAATATTAAGTTTAAGTATAATTTATTGGCAGTATTTTTGGCTAAGGGACACAACTATCAACCTTTTTTTCAATCGTTATGGTGTATTTACTGTGTACAATTTGTGATTCACATTATGCAAAAGTTTTTGTTTGCTGCTTCTCACAAGAATATTAATTTTCATCGTTAATAAGTTGTACTTATCATTGACTTTTTTCTTTATCATATCATGGATGCTTGGAGGACTTCTCATAAATGTAAAGGTGGGTGGTACCCCGATTAGAATTTCTCTTTCTCTCTCTTCAATCTCTTAGTTTGTTTCTGCTTCTTATTCTGATTTTGCATTATATTGAGTTGCTTATGGTCTCTCACATCACAGAAGTTTAGTCAAAATTTTCTGGTATTTTTAGAATAACACATTGAGCGCGAGTGACGGGCCGGCCCGCCATGCGCAGTTGGCACACCATGCGTCTGGCGGGCGCGCCCGTCATGTTAGCATAGCAACAACCATGTTTCAACGTGAGCTACGCAATTGCCGGGGAACGTTGTAATCGTTACCAGCCTGTAGCTTAGAATGTGAGCTTTATTCTGGTGTAGGTTGGTACTAAAATTGCCCGTAAAATCCCGTCTGGCAATGCTTTTTTCCCGTTTTCGGAGATTTTCTCTATTCGAGCCATATTACAAAGACTCTGGTTATTGATCCAGGCAGTGCTGCTACCTTTGAGTGTTTCAGTGAACTACGTCCACTATCGGGGTAACACAGAACAATCACCACTGGCTGCTCTTTTGTGATTTGTCTTACTGAGATATTTTGAATGCCAATAGCGATCGCTGATTCAGTCGGGGTTCCGCCCGGGCCTCGCCGCCATTGGCGAGCGCCTGTTTAAAGGTTTTCAGCGCTCAATGTGATAAGCAATTAAAGAATATATATTCTGATTGCTAAAAACAACCTTATTGTCAAATTTAAATACAGTATTAGTATATTTCAAGTTTATCTAAAACATTGACGTTATAATGAATTATAACTTTTAAAAACCTGACGCCAAAAATATTCCAATATTCAAAAATTCTTTTTTTGACCGTTCATTTAAAAAAGGTCTGTATTTATACTTAATTTCACAAATTATCTATCGATTTTCTAAAATCTTACTGTTATGAATGCATGTGTTTACAGTAGTTTTAATGTATTCTTCTGTTGTATAGCTCCATGTTTACCTTTTCTTATATATACAAACCATCAAGATGAATTGTGTATCATTCTACTGTCTAATTGCTTTGAATTAATGTTTTTTTAAGAATAAACTGAGTAACTCATTCAATTCACATAAAATACATAACTGTACCTTTTTTAACATAGAAAGACACAGATATTTTTCAAACACGCTGTATGTTATTGTTTATGTCACAATATACTTTATCCTCTCTACTTTTTTGTTTCCTTATCTGTTTTCCAGCTGTGTGGTTATGTCTAATCGTACAGTTTTTTTGTGCAGGTCCCCAGCAAATCATTATACAGTGGGTGCGCCGCGACGGACAGCCGCTCAGCCCACAAGCCTATGAGCGCAACGGAGAACTCTACATACGCGACGTGCAGTACTCAGATGCAGGTGATTACTCTTGCCAAGGACTCGACGCTCGCGGCGAACCTCTGTTCACAGCCATCGCACACATCAGAGTAATCGGTAAGTTTCAAATTGCTTTATTATTGTTTCATTTTGTAGAAGTATAGAATTTTAGAATTTTCACATCATTAATCTTTTTAATAACTTATTCTTCTAATAAAATTTATGTATACTTAACAAATATTAGGTGAGGTGAAATGACTGCAGAAACTAATGATTCCTCTCATGACAGTTTAATGTGGTTCACTATTAGGTGATTGTTTACAACGCTCTTATCTTAAGAAACACCTTGACACAAGCTTGATTGAATCATCCTAATGTTTAATTACCGAAGCCATTTTCAACTTGATGATGAGGTGTTTTTCAAGTTATAAAACTATAATGTTGACAACACAAACTTACAGTTACTTCAAACTATATTAAAAATGGTTGATGCTACCCAATTTAAGGAGTTTATTCAAAATATTTTAAATCACTAGTATTTGTCTATTTTTGCTCACAGAAAAGGAACAATACTGTCCTAAAGGTAATGTTTTGATACTTAAACATGATATTGTTGTCGTTACTTTGCACCATTTTGGGAAAGTTTTGAACATGCTTAAAAATTAAAAAATTTTCATAAAGCTAAAATCAACTGATTTTCTTATATTTTCTCTGATTCTTAACTGTTCAGGGTATCAAAACTTTCTCATCTCCTCAGTATTTATTGCACAGTAACCTAACTTAGATTTTCGTATGCACTTTATATTTGATGTATCATTGTTTATTTTTCTTTGTACTATAATGTTATTTATTTTTCATAATTTTATGGTCTTCTATCCCAATTAAAATGAGCCCCTTTCTCTATAAAACTATAGTGATGCTGGAAAAAATACAGAGAAGATTATAAACAAACTTTTTTAGGATATTGCACATTTTAGCGAATTTCCCTATAGGGAAGTAGCTATTACCGTAGGTCTCATGGTAAGACCTGGGCGCGGGACCGATTTACTTTTTCATTTTGATGTCCCCAGAGGCCAAAAACACTAATCGTTCAAATTCATATATATATATATATGTGTCCGTTAGCGCGATAACTCGAGCAAAAATGATCCGATTTCGATGAAATTTGGTATGAACGTGTAAACCTACGTTTATTCGAACGAGTTCGCGAACCAGCATGATCGGACTATGGGAACGGGGGTTTACGGGGGGTATTATGGGGTAAAAATGGGGATTTTGCAATTTCTTTTTAAACTGTTTTGTAGAGCTTAAAAAAATAAATAATTTAGTATATTGAAGCGCTGTTGTATGCCTAACGGTCACGGAGAAAATTAAAAAATAGTGTAATTTAAAATTCCCATGTTATTCTTATGGAGAAAATGAAAATTGTTGTAGTTTACTTGTTTATGGATATATATTGATAAAATTTGGCAAATTTATTTATTTCATCGTATACTATTGACATATAGTCAAAAAACACTTTTTACCTTTCCCGTAGCAGCAAACCTAAGCACTCGTTAAATCTAATGTTATTTAAATAGGGGATAAAAATATGTCTTATTTATGGAAATATTTGAGCAAAAATGTAATAAGACGAGTTGAAATTCGCTTAGTCTGCAGGTTTGCTGCGGCGGGGGTATTTTGTTTGTTGTTTGTTCTCTACATATTTGCAAGATTATAAACTTTGCAAAATTGTTGTGTTTTAATCTGTTGGCAATTTTTACCATCACCCTTTTTTTGTGGATCTTGTAAATAGCTCTATGAAATTATTTTTTCTTAGAAATATGATTACTTTTACTGTTCAAATATGTCTAATGCAAACATCATCTTTCCCCATCACTACGATATCTTTTATCACACAATAATTTTACTATTGGACCAATTCAAATTAAAACTAAAAGCTTCTCTTTAATTTAGTTCACTTTAATAGTACATAACGTTACTTTTACGTGTTTAGGCACGGTAAAGGGTGACTTTCCAGTTTCCAGCCTATCAATACTGATGGAAAAGTATCTGTTTCTGTGTATTATGAATCATTATATGAATTTTGAGGGAAAGCCACAGGAAAATGGCAGCATCCACTAAGCATTTACTACACTATCTTTCTTTGTCTTCCTTTGTTGTCATCAATCCACGATTTATAGACTAATTTTGGAGCTTCATTGCAAAAACATTAGTCCCCGAGAACGTTAAAAACACAATGAACACCGATTACAAGGGACATATAAGAATTATTTTGTAAACGTAAACAAAACAATCAGTAAGGTTTGTATGGTCTGAGTTTGCCACTGACTTTGCTTTACGTTTCTCAGAGCCAATGAAGATCCGACTAGACCCGGAGAGACAGGTGGTGAGACCTGGCGATCACGCGATGATCACATGTACAGCGACGGGAGAACAACCAATAGACATCAGCTGGCACTCGGCGGACAACCAGCCACTGCCTCGCTCTGTGAGGGTGCAAGGCGGAGTCATTGAGGTAAGAGCCGAGCATTCCCTTTCTCACAGAATTATTATTCCTTCAACTTCAAATGACGAATCATGATAATTCGTCAAATAGTTGATTCAGAATCTTCGGGAAAAAATTCTATTTACGTTTTAATGTATAGGATCAGCTGAAAGCCTTTGCATAATCTTAGTAAATCATTCTAGTCGGTCATAATGATTTTGAAGTTTGATTAACAACAAGAAATCAACAGAACACACCAAATCACACCAACATTTAAGTTTGTATTATTTTCTAATCCAGACGGGTGATAAATATACATGGCGTTCCAAAAAGGTGGGGACATACCGGTATTACACTTAGTGATTTCTTGGGTCAAAATAAAGAGAAAATGGAGAATAACATTTCTCCAAAATCACTTCGTTAACCAGATATTCGCCATTTTGTATTTCTTACATAAATATTATTATCTTGGAATTTTTGCAACCAATCTTTATGAAACTTGATATGTATGTTAAGGTACAAAAGACCCATTTTAGAAAAAAGGGTTCATCTTGATTCAACTTAAAATTTAAAAGTCACTATGTAAATTATGTCCCGACCTTTTTGAACACCCTGTATAAGGGAGCAAGTCTAATCCATGGTTTGGCTTAAAATTGATGTTCAATTGTTAATATTTGATTGTTTGTCAACAGTTTGTAGGAATACGTGAGAGTGATGCTGGAAGATATGTATGTAAAGCGTCCAACGCTCGAGGAATTCTAGAGGCCACCGCTGATGTTATCGTCAATGGTGAGATTTGCAAATCACTTTAAATCCTACAAGTTTACTATTTACATTTGTTTTCCACCCAAATACAAAAATTCTCGTGACAAAATTTGTGAATTTGTTTTGTAGACAATTCCCGAGTGACATCGGTGAGAGCATTGGACCGGAATCCGACGGCCATGGAGGGATCAAGCATCCAACTACGCTGTGACACATCACAATACCAAGAGGTAACCACAGCTAGTGAATAGACTCAATTTATTTGTAATATGTTTTTTTATAAAAATCGGCTGCAAACAACAACTTCTTCAGTTGTTTAAGAAAACATTAGATTTGAGATATGTTAGTTTTAAAATTGGAATAAAATTTAATGAATAGCTGTATTTCTGAGCTGAAGTTACGGCTTGTAAGTACTCTCTAGAGCTCACGCTTCCCTGGTGAAGCCTGGGAGGTAGGGTTGAAGCCCGTACAAAACCGGTCCTGAGCTACTCTAACCACCTACCCCCAGGCTTCACCAGGAAATGCACGAGCTCTACCACTTAAATTTTATGACAATACATCAAAGTGTTAAGTTAAAAAACTGAATGGTTAAAAATAACTTACATTTTACATAAGATACTATAACCTAATTCAATGAATTAACTGATAGACTGATCATTAGGTGTTGCCTGTCTACTCTCTTGGAAGTATCACAAAAGTTATAAAATTCACTAAAAAGTTATACTGATGTTTAGGTTCACACACTGTATTTCAAACATTAACCATCCGGAACATACTCGAGATGTACTTTTTTGCGGTTTTATAAGGAGTATAGAGATTCAAAATCTATTTCTCTATTCATAGATATCATGGACCAGAGATTATCAGCCGTTACCTTCTCGAGCGACGATAGAAGGTCCGATCCTGCGAATTGACAACCTTCAAATGGAGGACGCAGGGCGATACATCTGTCGAACCACAGCGTACGGCTCTACGGCCCAGGACTACATCGATCTGAGAGTAGAACGTGAGTAGGACGCTTGGGGCGAAGCATGACGCCAACGAGAATGATTGCTTGGAAGCATGACGTAGAATATTGCTTGTTGAACAGCCCGGGGGGATGTTATTTTGGAAAATATTTTTGTAAGGTCTTCTTTTCTCTGTTGGTACTCAAACATTTTTGTAAGATTCAAATTTTAGTCTATATTTTAATTTCTTCCAGGGAAAAAACTTTTAAGTTGTATTGTTTTTACAGTTTGAAATGTTGAATGTCTCTGGCAATACTTTTTACTGAAGGCATTAATATTTCTAAAATTAGAATAATTATTGAAATAATTGTATTGTATATATTGGAGCTCAATAATAGTAAAAAATTACTAGTTATTCCATTGTAAAATACTTACAAGATTCATGTTATTTCACAACTCTTGTTATTGAAACATTGAATCCAAGTACATCAAGAACTTTTTAAATATCAAGCAGGTTAATTTACTTTTTTTAAAATGATTTTTAATGTAATACTTAATAGGTAGCCAAAGTTTTAGTGAAAAGTTTACTTTGCAAAAAAAACTTCTACAAATACCAATGTGGTTCTAAAACCAAATTTGTAGAATTTATTTATTTTTCTAAGATTTACAGCAAAATATAAATATAAAAAGTACTAAAATCTAATTTTATCTGAAGATATCCTACAGCAAAGAAATAGATAAATTTATTATTTAAAAGGCTATAGAATTTTGACCTTATTTTGGGTAACCCTTTGGTCAATAGCATTAACAAATTAAAATCTTTCTAACACTTTACTTTTGGCAAGTTAAGTGCTCGTAGTGTGAACCACGATACCTAGAATAACAACGGCAAAGGACATCATTATGCACACTAGAGTGACTACAGGTCACTAAGTAAGGAAGTCACTGAATAGTCCCTGATTTCAATTTAAAACAAATCCGACTCAATTAATTTTTATTTGGAGACAAAAATAAGTAGTTGAACAATTTTCATATTTCATCTACCAAAATTAAAAGGAAAATTTAAAAAATATCAGATAGCATATAAATTATGTATTTAGTCATAAACATTAAATTCTTTGAAGAATCAACACACTTTCATATTTTACTTTGTAATCAACTTGTGGCTTACAAAGTTTAAAATCATTTTGTTTGTTTTTAAGAGCATTTAACAGTCTCATAAAACCATGCATTTGCCAGTCCACAAGGGCCTTGAAGGCCCGAGCTTGAAAAGTAAAAAAAACAGTGAGTAAGCCGACTCTTAAACTGTTTTCTAATTCAACAAAATCAGTACACATTTTCAAAGACTTCAACCTGGTCACTGTGAATGTCATTGATTTTTAGAAGAAAACCCCATAGACATCTAGGTAAGTGATTGATTCATCGTACCTATCAAAAACATCTAATAACAACTAAAATGGTACAATAGGTAAATTAGGTTGTACAACTACTATTATTTCACTTTTCACTTTGACCTGATCAAAACAAGTCCTTTGCCGTCTATTCTAAGTAGAGTGCACGTATTGATTTGGTTTGATTGATTTGCTGCCTGCTAGAGAGCCCGTGCTCGTCAGACGAGCAACCATGTAAGAACAGCATGCCGCTGTGCATCCCTCTGATTAGAGTGTGCGACGGACGAGCAGACTGTTCCGACGGCTCGGACGAGGCATCATGTCAGATACGACCTGGACGTGGTTGGTTTGGATTTGGATAACAGTAACTTGTAAAACCCCTTGCACATGGGCACAATAGTGGTCGCCAGTGATTAAGTGGTAAATTGGTAGTACGATAGAGGCGAGGTTATCAGCACTAGTTCAGATTAGTGGGGTTCGGATAAGCAGGAATTGTATTGTGTACTGCATCGCACAGAAGTAAACGGGAAATCATTGGCTGCTACTATTGTGCTATGTGCAAGGGAAAGAATTTTTATATGCTGAGAGATTTTTAAAAATCATAATTTACTCCCATAGGAAGTATTAAAACTAAAACAATAAGTGAAGATTTGTCTTATTTTGTAGGCTTTAGAGAACTGATAAATTTAGTAAGTGCTTACACATTTTCATTTTTGAATGAAATTTATTTTTTTTTTTTTTTTAAGCAGTTCAAAATATTTAGTAGGCCTACTTAAAATTTATTTACAACTGAACTTCTTCCCTTTAGCTTATAATTTTGTGTGCGATTATAACATGATTAAACGTATGAAATTAAATAAAATAAACATTTTAACTTTTTATTCAAAATATCCATCAACTTAAATTTAAAATGTTGTTTTATTAAATTTTTTTCATTAAAAGAAATTTGTGTTGAAAATGTATGTTTTTATGTTTAAAATTATGTTTAAAGTCGGGACCACATAAGTTTGCAGTTGGTGGCAGCCAATCACAAGACAAGGCTCGTGCGACGTTGCCACATCGCCAATGACAACACAAATTAAAATGTACAAAGCAATATTTTCAAATCAGCTGGTACTATTAGATTTGGCAACACCGCACCGTTCTCATTGGTTCATTCAACAAAACCATATGGTAAATAGGCTCCTCCCTCAACCGCAAACTTATGTGGTCCCGACTTTAGTAGACAAATACTGCAAAAACTAAATCGCAATTAATTCACATCACTCAATTTTTAAATAATTAACATCTTAGTGGTATCATATCATGATCACTGTTAATAACTATCTCTCCCATTCTCTTCTATTCTAATCAGTTCCTGATATAAAAATCCTGTAAATAACTCTAAAAATGTGCAGCTTAAACATTTTCTTTTCTTATTTGCTAAAAATAAGTGTAAAACGTTAACAGTTCTAAAACTACTGTGGGTTTATCACAAGTCAATAATAAAACCTAGCATTATCTGTTAATTTTACTCTACTCCTTTCTCGTTTTCATATCATAAAAATATCATTTCTAATCAATTAAAACTAGTCTATTAGTGTGTTCTATGTGCCATACTTTTAGCCAGGACGTCAAAGAATTCTTCTATGGGTATGATTCCACCACTTTGGATTATATTTACTTAAAATCCATGCATGAACTTATCACCTTATATTATTTTTAATTGCATGATTATATAACTCATGGAGTGTATGGGGAAATTTTACCCTTGGAGTTGGTGGAATAATGGTTTTATTTAAAAGGTGTAATTTCAGCCTTAAACTTATAGTGGCTAGATAATTCAAGTACAGTAATTGTGACAAAATTGCCAACTCACTTTAAACAATGTTAAAATACTTAGTTGTTCAGTATCTACAGTAAACTCTTAAAAACCAACTCCAAGTACCTGCATGATTTATAACCAGTAAAGCAATTTTTAACCAATCTAAATTGTGGTTGTGCACCTAATAATATAAAATGTTTCACTAAATTGCATGGGGAAAATGTTGGTTTCTTTTTCATGTTATTTCGTTTCAGATGTAAATAACCTTTGTGCAATTACAATAGTCATTGTACTCATCACTTTCATAGGTGATGAAACTCTTAAGATGCGTCACTGTAGCAATTCTCCATCTCTATGTTTTATCATTAACAAATCATCAGTTAACATAGTTTTAAATTGTACTCCTGTAAAATGAAAATTACATAAACGCATATTTGTGGCTACCAATTCACTTCATCTTTTTAATGTTTCCTACGTGTTCATAACACAGTTCAATTTTTTTTTTCTTTGGGTATCATTGTCATTGTGGTCAATATAATATTTTACATTGTTTGTTTCTATTACAAATAATAATATAACGTCAACTTTTTTTATCTACAGTTCATGAACCTATCTTGTAAATCAACACATCAACATTTCATTCTAAATATTTAACTTTATCAAAATTTTATACACTTTGTAATTAATGTAAATGTAAATATTGTTAAGATAAACATATACTTTGGCAGGTTTGAATGAGGTTGAGCTGCAAATCGAGGCAAGCAAGCGAGAGGTGCATTACGGAGATACAGTTGACTTACGATGTACTGTGCTCGGACCGTCCAACGTCAAGCAATATTGGTCTCTTAGTGACGGACGAAGTCTGCCTTCCAATGCTCGGCAGAGCGGCCAAGTTCTTAGGTAACATAAAAAACTATCAAATTTAAAGTACCTGTGATTTAGCCAAACAATCCTGTGTTATTATGGTGTATGTGTTACAAATAATTGTAAGACAAAGTAGTGACCCTAAATTTTGTAGATTATCAGAAATCAAAACTCACCCCTCTCGCACTGAAGTCTGAGACGCTAACCACAAATCTAGCAATACATTCCACGTCCATACACTTGTGAATATATCACCAGGTGCTAAAATGTCGTCAGAGATATTTTTGGTGTTGTATGATTCAGTATTTGTGTCCTATATTGATTTCTATCTATCAAAACACAGTTTTCCAACCCCTTAATTTAGCTTTACCAAGAAAAGATTATTTCAGTTACGGTACCAACAATATAGAATATAACAAATCTTTAATCTAGTGAACTGTGTTGATTGTTAATTTTTTTTATTGGCCAACAATTGACTAAATGTAAGGTACACCATTGTCTGAATAAAGTAAGGAGTAAACTGAGCTTTTATATTTTGACAGATGTCTTCTAATATTTTTCTATCTTTTCAGAATAACCCAAGCTACATCTGAGAACAACGGAACGTACAGATGTACTGCTTATCTAAACAACAACCGTTACGACAAGGACTATTTACTCTCTGTATTTGGTAAGTACTTTATTTGGTGGAGAAATTTAAGTTGTCTTTCCAAGCACAATCAGAAGACTAAATGTATAGAATTAAAAGTGAGAATTTAGTGAGTCGGTGGCTCAGTTGGTAGCGTCGCGGACTTCGGGCCCAAGGCAGCGATGTCGTGGGTTCAGATCCTGGTCACTGCCACTAAATTTTATCAGTACAGTTCACCTTTGTACTCTACCGGGTCACTCCTTGCTTTACAGTAAAAGTTAGCAACCGCACGGGCAGTTAGTCTATGTGGACGGGCATTTGCAAGGTTAAAAGAGGCCCCCAACCTCTTAAAACAAAAACAAAAATCGAAAACTAAATTTATCATTTATTTGAACATACTTTTAGTCTTTCTATGGCTAATTATGTATTTGTTTAGTATTAATTATAAGTGTTAAAACAAAGGTGAAAACTAAATTTGCCATTCATTTGAACATTATCGTAGACTTTTGATATCTTAACTTAATATGTACATATTTAAGTATATTGTGTTAGAACAATCTTTGAGGAATATTAATATTTTAAGTTTGAACTAAGATTGTATGATTATTTTACATGCTCCTGCTTCAATTGAATTTGGTAAGTTAATACAAATTAATTGTAAATATTATTGTAACAATTTAGTATCTTACACTTAACTGCTGCAGAAGCTACTTAATCCAAGAGTTCTTTTTAATGTTGACTAACAGTTCAGGTCCACTTTAAACCAATTTATAACAAATTCACAGATCTGGTAATAGATTTTAAATCTGAGTTTTTTGCAAACACAAACCTCATCTCATCAATTTACCAGCAGATTCTTCAGTCACATAGCTCATCTTAAATTGTTTGATCTTGCATACATTGAATTAAGTTAATTTGATTTGTGTGTAGATGATCGGCCGACCCACGATGCCGCCTCAGCCGAGACAGTGACAGCTAATTACGGACAGACAGTGGACCTTGTGTGTAACATTGATCTGGAGGGTCCCATCACTCACACCTGGACCAAGCATGGAGGAGTGTTGCCGTCAAACGCTCAGATATCTGGGGTTAGTATACTATTACATCCACTCATAATCCATTATAAAGGTTTTTTATGTAATGGTGTGATATTTCAAACAAGGTGACAAGGTTATTTTATTTTAAAGAGTTACAATTGCCACTTAAACTACCTTTTGCTAGCAACATACCTTTTGCTAGCAGCACACCTTTTGCTAGCAGCACCCCTTTTGCTAGCAGCACACCTTTTGCCAGCAGTACACATTTTGCTAGCAGCACACCTTTTGCTAGCAGCACACCTTTTGCTAGCAAACACACTTTTTGCTAGCAGTACACATTTTGCTAGCAGCACACCTTTTGCTAGCAGTACACATTTTGCTAGCAGCACACCTTTTGCTAGCAGCACACCTTTTGCTAGCAGCACCCCTTTAGCTAGCAGCACACCTTTTGCCAGCAGCACACCTTTTGCTAGCAGCACACCTTTTGCTAGCAGCACACCTTTTGCTAGCAGCACATCTTTTGCTAGCAACATACCTTTTGCTAGCAAACACAATCCAATGACCTAGGCGATTTAATAAGACGTCTCACATATGTTTTGAAGATCAGCTGAGTAACTTAAATAACCACATAGCTGATGTAATGGCTGATTAGACGACAGGGAAATTTAAAGTAAAGTAGTTGCCTTTCTAACTAATTGCTCTGTGTATTATACCATATAATCACTGGTTGTCTTGTCTACTTGCAGAAACACCTGACCATCCCGGCTGTGACATACAAGGATGCAGGACTCTACATCTGTACGGCCAGCAACGGCAACATCACCGTAGACATTCCCATGATCACCCTGGTTCACGGTGCTGTGCCGTTCTTTGCTCAGGCACCCAACTCTTACCTGGCGCTGCCGACGCTACCCAACACCTATCTTTCCGTTAGCCTGGAGATCACTTTCAAACCGGAGAACCCTAATGGTAAGTGGTTAGGTCTACTTTGAATGTTAATATCGGTATTAATAAGGCTTTTACATTTTCATCTATTAAAATTATTTTTCACCAATTGAAACAGTGCCTTTTTCTGTAATCTTTGTAGATTAGAAAGTCATTACAGAAAGGGACCGATAAAGTCATCTGTGGTAAAAGTATTATTTTCATTTTTATCACGCTGATTTTCTGATTTATTGTTTGACAGGTTTGATCCTGTACAACGGTCAACACCCAGATGGTAAAGGCGATTTCATCTCGTTCGGTTTACGAGACGGAATTCCCGAGTTCCGGTTTGATGTCGGTTCTGGACCAGGAATCATCCAAGGCTCTCAGAAACTGTCTCTCGGAGAGTGGCACACTGTGCAACTGAGTCGGTTCAAGAAAGACGGTCAGTTGAACTTCAGACTGTAGTATATAAGCTGTATGACTGTATTTTGGTTTATAAGGGTGGTCTTCACTGTCATTGTAAATTAAAAACTCTTGAATAACTGTCTACAGATCTAAAAACATGTATATTTAATAATTTAGTAAGCAATTTTTTATGTTACTTATCCATGTAGTTTGATAGTTTGCACAATTCAAAAACAATTTTTGTCAATTTTAAGTCTCTCTTGCAATTACAGAAACATAATCATCTTCAACTCACCCTACCAGCAATAGTTTTCAGGACGGTAGAATACGTCTTCATTATCACTCGGGACGCAGTGAAATCGATAATGATCGGATCAAATCCCATCCCAAGAAAATCCTCAATCAAATTTAATCCAAACCCGATGATCGGGAATATTTTTTCCCAAAATTTTCCATTCCTACACAAAACGCTTATATTCAAAAATAGGGCTTATTCTGGTGGGCCACAGGAACCTGAAAAATTCAGATGTCTGTTTTTAACCTGTAAGTTTGATGTGTGTATGCAGGAACCATGTATGTGGATGAGAACCAGTACTACACAGGCAAGTCAGTGGGCCGCATGCAAGGATTGGATCTCACCCAGCCATTGTACTTGGGTGGAGTGCCTGACTTCACTAGAATACACAGTCAGAACGGCTTCGACACAGGATTTGTTGGTTAGTAATAGCACTTATATTCTTATACTAGCTGTTGTACCCGTTCTTTGCAACGGGAAGAGGACACAAAATACAAACATTTTAATCTTTACATCTGCATATGTTGCATATAATAGTTACACATCCCCCAACGCTTTTAGAAACAAAATTCAACTTTTATAGCCTTAATAGAAATGTTTAAGTTATATGACTTTTAAATCTGGTAAGTAGTGGGTACCACCATTTTGGTTTTGATTAATTTTAAATCTTGTGTAGGCTGATATGAGAAAAACTTACCAAATCTTCGAATAAAACATTGACTTACCTTCATCTTACATATCTTTTAATTTATTATTGACATTTTAAATTTCAATTTTGAAGTTGCAAAAATACTAATTATTAAATTAAAATGAACATTTTTTAAATTTCACTCTTCTTTATATTAAATCTAGGGATGGACGGGATTGGATTTTTAGTTCGGGAAGGGACGGGACGGGATTTTTATTTCCTTCCCTATTTTCGGGACGGGCTGGGACGGGATTTTTTTCTGTGCATAAAAAGAAAGTACTGTATTGCAGTTACCAAAAAAGTCATACGAAATCAATTTTTACCATTCGTGGCACTGATCTATAAAAACCAAAAAATGGGTAACAATTTACAGGTACCGACAAGTTACAGGCGAGTAACTTGTGACTCGCGGGTCACGGCGCGATCGTCGGTATGACTCCGCGGTCACGGCGCGATCGTCGGTATGACTCCGCGGTCACGGCGCGATCGTCGGTATGACTCCGCGGTCACGGCGCGATCGTCGGTATGACTCCGCGGTCACGGGGTTATCGTCAGTATGTCTCGCGATCACGGCTCGATCGTCAGCATGACTCCGCGGTCACGGCGCGATCGTCGTCATGACACGCGGTCACGGCGCGATCGTCGGTAGGACTCCGCGGTCACGGTGCGATCGTCGTTGTGACTCGTGGTCACGGCGCGATCGTCATTATGACTCCGCGGTCACGGCGCGATCGTCGGTAGGACTCCGCGGTCACGGCGCGATCGTCGTTATGACTTGCGGTCACGGCGCGATCGTCGGTATGACTCGCGGTTACGGCGCGATCGTCGGTAGGACTCCGCGGTCACGGCGCGATCGTCGTTATGACTCCACGGTCACGGCGCGATCGTCGGTATGACTCGCGGTCACGGCGCGATCGTCGGTAGGACTCCGCGGTCACGGCGCGATCGTCGGTATGACTTCGTCTCCTGCGTTCGCGGACCTATCGCTCGCAATAACGGCGTTATCGGCACTCGCGAAGCGGAAAAATCGCCGACGATCGGACCAAATCCCGTCCCGAAAAATTCCCGAGTCAAATGTAATCCCGTCCCGATAATCGGGAATATTTTTTTCCCGAAAAATTCCCGAAATTTCGGGACCCGTCCATCCCTAATTAAATCACAAATCCTTCCATCTTCATCTTCAGTTTCTTCACTCACAATAAATCATTAACAAAACTAAGTCAGCTGTTATAAACTTTAGAAATATTGCTGTGCCTTATCAATACAGTTTTTGAAATATTAATGAAACTATATCTATAGGTACTATAAAAATTTTTAAACAAATAATTTAGCATTAAAGACAGCAGACAAAACTAATATGATTTTTTAGGACTAAAAAATGTAATAGCAAATACAGTATATGTTTCATTGCATCTCTGATTCCACCCTACAAAAAATCAACAAACAACTTAATATACAAACTCGTTCTTTTAATCACTTCCATCGTGCATTGCCTTTACATTTTCACACTTACCATTAAGTAAACATAGTAACAGATATTTCATTGATTTTAGAAACAAAAGAACACTGTGTACTGCTTAGTTTTATGATATTTTCCTTGGTTTAATTTAGGGATGGACGAGATTGGATTTTTAGTTCGAGACGAGACGAGACGAGATTTTTTATTTCTCATAAAATTTCGAGACGAGATCGAGACGGGATTTCCCTTCTCATACACAACGGGAAATGCACGTTCAAAATTTTTACCTGATTTTGTAACATTGTTAGATGACTGTTTAAATACAAAAATAATGATAATAGGCAAGAATATTTACAATCTTTTATTAAAAAACATCAGCATAACATTTTTTTATTAATCACGCCTAACTTATTAAAAATGCCTAGGAAACATAGTGATATCAGTTAGGATAGAGTTCAACTTATCCTAAAATAAAATAAATCATAGAATAAAAGCAATATTAATTTTCATAAAATAGTTACTTGTTTTGACTTTTTATAGAAGGCTAATAAACCTCACACTACTTACACTTAACAAAACTTCTCAAATGTTATTAAAGTAATATTATTAAAATAATTAAAGTAATATTTACATTTAAAGAATTAATTAAATAAGAACGCCTTCGCAAAGGAAACGCAACTACAACACGCTCCTGTATTGCGGGTATTGCATTGACTTTCTGCAGGCGTTTTTAATTTTTTTTTTTTTTTTTTTTATTCTCGTCTCGATAAAAATCTCGGCCAAAATGAAATCTCGTCTCGTGTAACGAGATTTAAAATTTCCCGAAAATTTCCCGAAATTTCGAGACTTGACCATCCCTAGTTTAATTTAATCAGTGGTGTGGCAAAACACAAATAATAAATGTATCAAATAAAGTAAATGTGAACTGAAATTTATGTTAAGAAAAAATAAGAGTATTTTGTATTAGCATTTGATAATTAAATATAGTTACATATATACAACAGATTTTAGAACACAAAAATCAACGTACAATTTAGTTATTGATGATATTCTTTAGTTTAATTTAAGCGAGCATAGGTTAAGCAAAACACAATAAATTAATTTTCCTAAATATACATATAAAAAACAATGTGATGAGCAAGTTATGTTAAGTTAATCTAATACATGCTAAGCAGTTAGAATTTATTTAAATTAGTCTTCAAATTAATTCTGTAATTTTAATACTGTTTCAATGAAAACATATCAATAACATTATTTTCATAACTTATACGCTTTAAAAAATCCAAAGCAGAGCCGGAGTTGATACAGCAATGGTTATAGAATCTTTTTTTTCTATAATCATTGACATGGTTTTGGAATAAATAATCCATGATAAAAGGTTAGATTAAAATAAACCTACCTCATAGTTATGGAAAATATCATATTTAATTTCTTTGTATCAGCTGTCTGAAATTGTGAAATATGCAGTTTAGCAGTTCTTCTTGTTTACATTTAAATGTCAAAGCAAATGTAAACAAACGTTGTTAGTATTCTCATCACAGCCATGGAGACCAATCAATATTTACTTTTAAAATGGTCACTTTAGGACTTTTAAAGCCAAAGGGGCAAAGCCTACGGTCAGTATCGAAATTTGAATAGTCCTATAATGGTCCTTGGTATGGTAGCTACATTTTTGTAAAATTTAAGCCCAGTTGGTTCAGTAGTTGCTGCACCTATTAGTAACACACATACAGACAGACACCGTTAGATTTTTATATAATTGTATAGATTGTATAGATATAGATAGTTTCCTATTTCCACATCCAAGAACGATAGGCTCTAGTGAAACGATTTACACATTCATTCGGCTAGGCCTAAAGGACTACTTATCACAAAGCTAAATTCATTTGATTGGTGGGATTTAAGCCCAATATCTCGGAGGACATGATACCCTGCTCCCCCAATAAATAGCACTCACTACACAGACCAGCTGTATCCAGTTTTTACTCCCAGAACACAGTTGCATGAGCCTCTAATAGAATGTTTATTATAGATATTATTTATCCAAAATCTTTAGAAATTTTTCAGAAAAACTTTTGTTGATTTATAGTTTGAATAAAAATATGTGCATAAAGGTTTTTGGCTATTTATCCTTAAATCAGTACAATTTGTGTTTTGAAAGTTGTATTAGAAACTCTTTTTAAATTGGAGATCCAATTGGTCATTATTAATTAAATTCCGGTAAATAAACATAATATGGCATAGTTATTCCATATACTGTATATTGTTGGCATATTTATTGTTGTCTTTTGGGCCTTGCAACAAAAATGTTTTCGTTGATCAACTTTTCACCTCTCTCAAACTTATATATTCTTCATTCTTATCAGGTTGTATCAGCCGACTTGTCATAAACGACAAAGAAGAGATTGACATAATGCAGGAGAAGAAGGATGCAGAAGGAGTTACGACTTGTGAGACTTGTGCAGTCAACCCATGCGTCAACTCTGGCGTGTGTCAAGAGGCTCCTACCAAGGTGAATCCAATGTAACGTTGTAAACAATATGTTTAGAGAGGGTGAGCTCTTAATGCAAGTGTGTTCTTTTCATTAAAAGGAACCAAAATTTTGGGTATACGATTGATTGATTGGGGAGGACCACTACCAAGGGTGTCAAAGGCATGAGTTTCTTTTACGATCTCCGTTCAGTATCTCAGAACCGTTAAACTTGAGTTGCTTGGTGAACTGCAGTATGATGTCCATGGGCTCTTCCTGAGGCAAAGGGTTGTCCCTGTATTTCTTATCTCATTCAGATTTGATTAGAAGAGGCTTATTCCCTGACAATGAAGGTGTCAAAGGACAGGATAAGCAGCTTTACCTTAAAATTTGTAGACATACCACTTCACAAAAGTAACACAAAAGAAAACCCAAAGGAAAAACAAGGAAGTCATCCAGAATATAGTGACTCCCAAGTCCCAAAGTCCCAATGTTGAAAAGGGGGACAGTGGGCTTGAAATATTCAAATTGATCCCTTTTTTTGTTTTCTATTTTGTTACTTTTGTGAAATGGGATGTCTGCGATGTTTAGGTTAAGCTTGCTTTTCCTGTCCATTGTCTCCTTCATAACCTCATTCACAGATAAGCAGTGAAGTAAAAGATTAGCAATCTCCTTGGACTCCCCACATTTATTACATGTAGTGTCCCAATTGTAGACATTTAATTTAGGTTCTTATGAAAATGTAGCCATTTTTATTGTCTGAAGACTACATTATGTTTTTTTTGTATATGTGAAATTAGTTTAATTTGTGTACTGATTTCATTTTACTATCACAGTCTGGATATACTTGCCTGTGTCCGAGAGGATTTAGTGGATTGAACTGCTCTCACGAGGGTGAGCCGTGCTACCCAGGTGCTTGCGGCTCGGGACGCTGCATTGATACGGACGACGGACTCGAGTGTTACTGCGGCATGGGCAAGGCCGGGGATCGCTGTGAACGTGATGTCTCCATCACTGAGCCAGCCTTTGCCAAGAACTCCTTCCTTGCATACCCTACGCCAAAGACTCTAAACAAGTAAGTAATTCTGTAAACTAATCTTTAGTTAGGTTAGCTCTAGGAGCTGAAAAATGGATTGGGTTGACTACTTAGGACTTTGATAGAACTTCTGCAATCTTTGTTAAATGTTTTCAAGTGTTGTGTAATGCATTGGGCCAAAATCTTATCGTAACTGAGTTTTGGCCTAAAACATCAATATGTTCATTGTGGGGTGTTGCTAGGGGTTATACTATTGTCTGGGTGGCTCAGGTAAAATCCAGCTGATACCTGAGGCTTTTTAACATTTTATTATTGTTGACATAGTGGTTCGGATCCCGTTTCGCTTTATTGGATGGCTGCCTTCACTTTTAAGTATTTCAATATAATTGTATTATTCGTTAAGTGTAATATTCCAAAATCCTTCTAAAATTATATTTTATCCAACAAAAATTAAAAGTAGGTTACAAAAAGTGCAACTCAACATCAAATGATGCATTATTTTCATCCTAATAACTAGAACTGGATTTGAAGCTTTGATTTTTACAACAAAATTGTTTGTTCTCAGGATCAAAATAAGTCTCAAATTCAACCCGACAGACGACTCCAACGGACTACTGCTGTACTGTTCTGAAAATGACGACGGAGTTGGTGACTTTGCCTCCCTATCCATCCGAGACAGACGACTTGAGTTCAAGTTTGATTCTGGTTCAGGTATGTACTGTTTCATCTTCTAAAATGGTTATCGTAAGTGGAGAGACTTCAAATTTGAACGTCCATCAAATTTGCAGGTAGTTTTCAGAAAGTAAGAAAGAGTGCTTCTAAGTATCAGCATAGATTCAGATTGAACGTACTATCTTATCAATTTATCATAATTTTATATGAGCTGAATGCATATTTATGTTCATGTAACGTACTATTTATTTAATGTTCAAGTCTCGAAATTTCGGGAAATTTTAAATCTCGTTACACGAGACGAGATTTCTTTTGGCCGAGATTTTTATCGAGACGAGAATAAAAAAATAAAAAAAAAAAAAAAAAAAATTAAAAACGCCTGCAGAAAGTCAATGCAATACCCGCAATACAGGAGCGTGTTGTAGTTGCGTTTCCTTTGCGAAGGCGTTCTTATTTAATTAATTCTTCAAAAATGTAAATATTACTTTAATTATTTTAATAACATTTGAGAAGTTTTGTTAAGTTGTTAACAGTGTGAGGAATGTTTTATTACTATAAAAAAGTCAAAACAAGTAACTATTTTATAAAAATTAATATTTTATTTTATGATTTATTTTATTTTAGGATAAGTTGAACTCTTTTAACTGATATCACTATGTTTCCTAATCGTAGGCATTTTTAATAATTTAGGTGTGATTAATAAAAAAATGTTATGCTGATGTTTTTTAATAAAAGATAGTAAATATCCTTGCCTATTATCATTATTTTTGTATTTAAACAGTCATCTAACAATGTTACAAAATCAGGTAAAAATTCCGAACGTGCATTTCCCGTTGTGTATGAGAAGGGAAATCCCGTCTCGATCTCGTCTCGAAATTTTATGAGAAATAAAAAATCTCGTCTCGTCTCGTCTCGAACTAAAAATTCAATCTCGTCCATCCCTAAATGTTATATCATTTTTAAACTTTTCTCACCAAATGTTTTTTATTTACAAGCTATTGCATGTCTGGTGCTATAGGTAAAGATTAAATTGCACAATGTCAAATTCACGCTAAAATATGGGTAAATAAAAGTAAAAAAACTAAGTTTAAATCAATTTCAAATTCAACCACAACTAACCATGTTATTGATATTTTTCCATCAATTTATTCATGCTTCTGTTCATTCCTCCATAAACCAACCTTGTATTTATAAATTTGAATGTACAAACATTGTTACAATTGCAGGAGTGAACACGCTGCAGAGTATCCGAGAGATAGTGCCCGGTCAGTGGGTGACGGTCAACGCAGGGTTGTCAGGTTTGGACGCGCAGCTGTCTGTGACTGGAGACTTACCGGTGTCCAAGGGTGTGTCCGCAGGAGTGTTCAAGTTTACAACTCCGTTGTACATTGGAGGCTTTGACAAGTCAAGGATAAGACCGGCCGTTGGGGTCGGTGTCCGCCAGGGATTCCACGGATGCATCGCTGAGGTGACAATTCTTTTTGGATATTTATTTTTAATGCGTTTACCTGATGCAATTTTCAACGGTTTTTAAGGGAATGGTCCAAATAGTACTTACTTCATTACTTTGTTACTTCACAATCAAAACAGCTTCTTCCCAGGTTGAGAAGATTTTATTGTATCCCGCTTAAATATATTGAAAAATCCCACTTTATCACACATGGATTGTTGATAAAACTTTGCTCCATCCCGAGTGATCTTTATAGCTTTTTAAACTTTGCTATAGTGTCAGTAAACACCGTAGGTATGCCGTCCAATGATTTATCATGGGTGTTACTAGGGATGTAGTTTTGTGTCAAGAAAGATTGAATATTAAATGTTAATTATAACATCAGAAAAATTTTCTAAGATACAGTAATCAAGTCTGGAATGCATGTTACAAATTTAGAACATTTCAAGGCACAATTTTTCGGGAGGATTTCAACATTAAAAGTGATTATCAGGCTTACTAATATTTAATGAGAAAAGGGCAAGCTGGTTTAGTACTGAAGTGTTGGGTTCGATCCCCAAGGTCTGGGGTTAAAATTTAGCCAATTGTTAATGGCTATATCTAACTGACCCCAACCCTCTAGGCTTAGCCTGAAGTAATGTGCAGAACGTTTTTTCTAGAGTCTAGCATGCTAGTATATTTAATGACATATTATCAGATTTTATTTTATATTTGAAGCATGTGGTACAGCATTTGGTTTAAACAAATTATTAGAATTTTTTTTAAATTT